GCGCTGCTCTATGTTGGATTAACTGAAGTGCCTGTACTGTCTTCAAAGGCAACCCCATGTAGAGCGCATTGCAGTGATCCAGGAGAGAGGTTACCAGTGCATGGGTTACTGTAGTGAGGCTCCTCTGGTCCAAGTAGGAATGTAGCTGGAAAATCAGCCTAAGCTGATAGAAGGTGCTCCTGGCCACTGAGGACACCTGAGAGACAAGCAAAGCTGAGGGTCCAGGAGCACCCCCAAGATGAGAACCTTATCCTTTAGGGGGAGTGCAACCCCATCCAGGATGGGTTGAAAATTTTCCAGTTGAACCAACAGTCCGCCCACCAAAAGAACCTCCATTTGTCTGAATAGAGCTTCAGCTTATTGGCTTTCATCCAGTCCATTACCAAGTCAAGGCACAGGTTCAGGACAGTCACAGCCTCAGCTGGGTTGGATGAAAATGAGAGGTACAGCCGAGTGTCATCTGTGTACTGGTGACACTACAGCCCACACATCTGGATGGCCCCTCCCAATGGTTTCATGTAGATGTTAAAGAGCATGGGGGACCGAATGGAGCCCTGTGGAACTCCATGGCACAAATGCCATGGCACAGAGCAGCAGTCCCCCAGCTCCACCCACTGGAGATGGTCAGCCAGATAGGAGCGGAATCACTGCAAAGCAGTGCTCCCAACTCCCAATCTGGCCAGCCAGTCTAGAAGGTTACCATGGCTGATGGTATCAAAAGCCACTGACAGATCCAAGAGAGTCAAGAGGGTCAAGTTTCCTCATCTCTCTCCCAGCAAAGGTCATCCCAAAGGGCAACCAAGGCAGTTTTCATTCTGATTCTAGGCCTAAAGCCCAACTGAGATGGATCTAGATAATCCATTTCCTCCAAGAGTGCCCAACTACAGCCCGCACAAGCACCTTGCCCAGAAGGGAATATTGGCTATAGGTTGATAATTAGTTACATCATCTGGATCCAGGTGTGGCTTTTTAAGGAGTGGTGTAACCACGGCCCTCTTTAAAGGGGCAGGCACCACTCCTCTCTCAAGGAGGCATTCACCACCTCATAGGCTGAACCCTCCTTCAATCACTCAATTAGCCAAAAAGGGCAGGGGTCGAGTGGACATGTTGTGGCTCGGACATAACCCAGCGCCTCGTCCACATCCTTGGGCCACAACAGCTGAACGTTATCCAGTAAGATTAGACCAGGCGGTGCACTGGATGCCTCTGCCAATAGCACTGGGATAACTGTGGTGTCCAACTTGAGACGAATCTGAGCGACTTTACCCTCAAACTGTCATACAAACTTGTCACAGCAGTCTTCTGAGGGTTCAATGATATCACATTTTGGGCCAGAGTGTACAAGATCGTGAACCACCCAAAACGTCTCCACAGGATGACAACCTGAGGATGCAACGGATCCACCATGGAATAGGCCTGAGAGTGGACACTCAGACGGACAGATTCATGCTAAGCTTTCCTCCACCTGAGTTCTAGCTGTCTTCCTTCTTGCTTCATCACATGCAGCTCTGGTGTGTACCAGCGAGTGGGACAGGCTCAGCGAGCGGTGAGGGTACCTGGGAGGATCTGAATCTGCAGGTCCTCCTCTCCCATTTATGCCAGTTTCTGCTCTAGGAGAGGCTTGAGGGGGCTTGCCCTCCACACACGGATGTGGATCAAGTCACTAAGATTCCCAACGGCTTTTTCTTTCTGAAAAGGCAGTGAGCAAAGGGAAGAGGAAGGGTTTTGGCAATCACAGTCTGGGGGTTGACTAGTAAAGCCAGCTGAACATGGAGGGCCTCTCTTCATAAAGCATCTATAAAAATTGCCATAGTGACATGAAGAACACAAGACCAAAATTCTAGAAAACAAGAAAATGGCTGTAACATCTTCAGCATAATTCACTATTCAGCAGTCCATCTGAAGAGGCCATCACACGATGAATTAAAATTTATCATCTTCAGCTCAAATATTTACAAATAACAGCAGCCTTATTTATCAACCAGAAAGGAGTCATTCAAGATAATAAGAAACTTAACAGATCTCTCTTCATCAGCAATGTATCAAAAACCTTCTCTATTCTCTTCTATTAAGAACACTTCCAGGCTATCAGTGTTAGTGATTCATAGAAGGTTCTCTGCTAAACTAGGATCTCTGCCATTACTTTGCAGTCAACACTGATTAGAAAAATTAGGCAATACTGCAAACAGCTCAGCAGCTCTGGCACCATTCAGAAACCAGATTTCACATTTTCACATATGGGCTTTAGCATCCAGCAATCCACATCAGCTTACTCTCGGACATCAGAAAAGGAAGCGTTTATACGGGCTGAGAAGAAAAACATTGCACTGTATCATGAAAGACAGGTTTTGTACAGTATCAAAAGGCCCTTTGCCATGCCAGTAGCTTTCAAAATATGTGCTAGGGAATCCAGGGTTTCTCAGAAGCTTCCCAGGAGTTCTCTGAGAAGACAGTTAATGGCAGATAAGCTTCCCTGAAAGTCAGGTGGCTCATCTTCTGCTATAATATACAATCACACAGGTCTGTTCTCTGTGCTCTGGTTCATAACCTCATTTCATGTGGAGCACTGTCTTACCTGGACAAGTAAACAATGCAACCAGGATGATAGTCTAACATGCAACAATAGCTGTGTGAGAACCAGCCTCTAGAAAAGCAACCCTGCAAGGCCAGGTCTTAGTTGATAGTAGCTAATTCTGCAATTAGCTTTTCGCCCCAAATATGACTAAACCTTGCAGGTTGAGTTTACGTTGGCATGAAATAGTTTAGTTTTTTAATGGGTTTCTCTAAATGTTTAGAAAGGGTATCTTCCCCTCATTGCCTGTAAAACAGAGATGGACAACTTTTAGCCCACCAGATGTTTTGGCCTACAACTCCCATTATCCCTTATCACTGGCTATTCTGGTTATGGCTAATGGGAGTAGTAGATCGAAACAGCTGGAAGGCCATCCCTAGATAATGAGTTTTTTAAATGCATCTCATCTAATGTAGACACCTAACAGACCCGTACTGCCACAGTCTAATATTCACTCTGAATTTTCAACTAGGTTTCCACACTTGATACATTCTGGCAAACATTATACTAAACAAATACGGCATTCTGCTTTCTTGTAAACATATATTAACACCTACACTGTTGCATTCCTCTTTTGAGCTGTTTCTAACTTCTGTAAACAAGGCTTGATGCGTAGAGACCTTAAACAATGATTTAACAAGCAATTACTTATATTTGTCAGTTGCAACTGCAAATCTGACCAAATGTAAGATTTAGGCCTGAGGACCAACATCAGATGAAACTCACAAACACAGCCAACTTGAGTTCACACACGTAATGTTGATCACTGCATCATTTCCAGTATTGGAAAGCTTGACCCAGCAAAGCAACTCTTCTGTTCTTTGTGCAAATAGATCAAACAGTTCTAATAGTGGATTTTCAGCAGAAACAATTCACACCTTAAACTGATAATTGTATGAGGAAGATTTGCATCTGCGGCCTGCCTTCACCAGGGGCTGTCTTTTCACTACTGCTACTAAGCCCCCTTTGGTTTATCATGAGGGTTAAGATTTTTTTAGAATTTATATGCTGCCTTTTCTTCAGGGAGCTCAAGGGGGCATAATAAGCATCAAAAATCAAAGGGTTTTTTTTTTTAAGATTTGATCTTGAAGGACAGGAGTATCACTCTGCACCAATGATAAGTACACCTACTAGGATGCAGGGAGAGAATAGGTTCTTGGTATCCCCTTTTTGAAATGTTCAAGCCTTCCTTTTTTAAAACTGATGGATGGAGAAGAGCATTGTGTGAGTTCCATAAAATTCAGCAATCTTAACAAATTAAGGCAAGAAGGTGATATTTTCATAGAAGGATTTCTCAGAGGACTCCTAATCCTCTGTATTTTTTCAGTATTTCTCACAATCCAACACAGATATACCTACAGCAAACAAACACTTGCCTCCACATGAGCATTCAGCAAGAAATAACACCCAATCTCATTTTTCTACAGCATATATAAATGGTGTGCAATATATTGTTTGCATACAAATACTTGCAATTTTAAAGGGATCTATTGCAAGCATAAACACAATAGATTTCATCAAGATTTATTTCCAAGTACATGTTCACAGAATCAGCGTGAGGGATCCAAATCTTCAGGCAGCCATGCCACAGCTACTGTGAGAACATAAAGTACTTTGCAGGAAAAAATGAACGGAAATTATAAACAAAGAAGTCCAAGATTATAATCAAGCAAGTTGATTCAACTGTTGCAGGAGAGTTCCATTGAAAGGTTATCTGAATTCTTTTAAAAGCTCAAGTTTATAGTTTTATGAATAATAGTTCTTTGAAGAACTAGGTCTCTAGTAAGCTTTCAAGTACTCATTCGATGGTCATCTAGTGGCCTTTCAGATGTTTTAGCCTACAGATCCCCTCACTCCCTAGCTATGCCACCTCCGAATAATGGGAGTTCCAGGCAAAAACATCTGGAGGATGTTGCTCACAAGTTACTCACTTTTGCTTGTGCAAAAGCACAACCTTGCCCAGATGTTCTGGTATCCCTCAGATGTTTCACATAGTAACTTCCAGGATTCCTGATGACTGGACATACAAGTTTGGGGTTCATGGGATTTGAAGTCCAAACATTTCAAAAGCACCAGGCTTGGAATGTCTGTTCTAGAGTAAACATTCATTCCTTTTAGCTAGCTTTAACAGCTCTGTTTTGCTATACAAGTCCCTTACAATGCCTTTGTAAAGTATCAAGGCCCTTTCAAAATGGATGTTCCCTATAAGCATCTTACTATCTTAATTAGCAGGATTAAGGATCAAGGAACGCAAATATAATCTAGTTTGGTTATGATACAGCACATGCAGACTGTTTATTTCTAAGTTTACACAGCTCAGTGAAGCAAAGCAACCTCCCCCACCCCTCATTCCATTTTGGCCAAGCAGGCCTGTACGCTATTCCCCAGAACAAATCCCAAATGCCCTAACAAGAACACAAACACCTACAGATCGGCGATCGCGTTGCAATTCGAGGATTGTGCTTGCTCCTGCCAACGGATGCCCTCAAGTTTTTGCATCACACAAAGCCAGCGCCCAGGCATGACCACAAACAGGGGAGGAAAAAAAAATCAGCCTCCATCCTGCCGCTGAAGGTACACGTCAGATGTCACTAAAGATGTCCCCAACACGTCATCCACGTTTAAAGCAAAGCACGGCACGCTCGGATGTTCTGAGTCTTCGTAGGAAAAAGGATCAATCAAATAAAGCCCGTCCGAACAGAAGATGATTACGTATTCGCTCTTATTTTGACAGCTCCATGCGAGACAGGAGGCCACGCGAGCTGAGGGCGGAATGGACTTCGGGATCACCTTGCCTCCCCCAGACTCCGTCTTGGTTTGGGCGCCAGGCTGCGTGTTGCGAACATGCCCTCGCCCCGCAGGGCAAACAATCCGCAAGCGAGAGGGCTGGGAAGCCGCGAGCGGCGCAGGGAGAGTCCGTCTGCAAACAAGCCTCTCTTACCTTGCGGCTGCTTCGGGCTCAGGGGGAGCCCCCGCTCTTCCCACCGACGCGGCACAACATGCTGGCCAGGACCCTACCAGCTTTGGTCCGGGGAGCGACTGCAGCCCCTCCCTCCTGCGGCGGCTCCCCACACCCCAGGGCAGCCTCTGCCGCAGCAGCAACCCGGCACCCGAACGCGCATACACCCAGCCGGCTGTGACGCCACAACCCGCCAGTCTCCTCCTCCGCCGCCCCGGCCCGGCCCTTCAGCGACTCCGCCCCCTACAGGTTCCCTGCTGGCAGTGCAGCCTTCCCGGCCGACATCGGTGTTGGGGACAAGGGTTCAGCGCAACTGGCTGGCTGCTAAGGAAGACCACAACTTGGTGCTTGGACTTACTCCCGAGGAAGTGCCGTGTCTCGGAGAATCGGGTCGTTTGCTGGACGTCAAAGCTAATCGCAGTATTCGGAATCCTCATCACGGAGAAGCGTAAACAATCCAAAAGCAAGAGCAACATCTTCGATTTTATTGGGGTTGCACCTAAAGTCAGTCCAGCTTAGAATCGTCCCATTGAAATGAATGGGACTTAAGTTAGTCTAACAATGGATACAGTCCTCGGTCGAACCTCAGTACTCTCTTTCAAGGACAGGAGCTAATGCTTCGGCTTATGGGCTGCTTATTCATGATGAGTACCTGGTTCTCATGAAATACCTCCCCTCGAGAAAAACTGTTCCTAGAAATACATGCATACCCTAACCTGTTTTTTTCCTCCTCGGTCGTACAATATATTCTGGATAACTGTAGGCTAGAGGAGAAAAGAAAATGAGAACAGTACTGGTTGTGGGCTGCCCAGAGGTGCTATGGCACAATCGGGCGGCATACAAATGTTTTAAATAAATACATAAGCAAAGGTGTTAAAACATGTTATTGTATGGATGCTGAAATGAGTTCTGAAAAGAACCCTTTTACAGCATGGTTGCTGTACCTCAGGAAAAGTTTTGAGATGCAGTTTGTTCTATAAAATAAAAGCCTCACTCTCTATTACAAGTATATTTTATGTAGTAGATTCACAACAAGGTTGCAATCCTAAAACAGCCTATTTGTATATTTTGTTGCTATTATAATATTTTGTAGCCTGTCCAGAGAGCCATTCCGGCTAATTGGCAGGATAGAAATTAAATAAATAAACAAACTAAGGGCAAGTCAGATTTAGACCACAGCATTTCATGGAACTGTATGCAGTTAAGGAATTGCATTAGAAAGTTAGCTATGAAACCAAATTAGAAAGGAATCTCTCTGGAGTAAACATACTTAGCAACTGAAAGGGTATGCTAATGAATAGCTCAGGAGCATACAGGCTATAATAAGACAATTATCTCTGCCCTTAAAAAGTAGCTCAAGTAGAAACCAGGGTAACCTCAAATCATCAGTTTTCTTTTAAGAAGCACAGAAAAAGAATTCCTGTTGAGATTCCAGCTCCTCCGTTCCACCTTTTTATATTAGTGCAAGGATATACAACCCTTTTGGGCCAGTAAGCATGCTTGATAATTTGAGGGACCATCTCAAAAAGGCTGCTTCAAGTAACAGAGGGATAGAAAAAAAAGTACCGAAATTAAGCAAACTGGCAGAGGAACAGAGCCTATTTCCAGCATATGAAAATACAATAAAGTGTTGTTTATAGTAAAAAATGTACATCCCATTTTACTTTTTTAAAAACAGGTTCTTCTAACATAAGGGAAGTCTTTAACAAGTCATTAAGATTTGGTAGGACTGACAGAAGCCAGTAAAAGTTTTTTCTTAGGTAAACACTCATCCCTAATCTGAATTGTAGACACCAATCTTTTCTAAGATTTTCTTTAGCTTATAACCCGCTGGCTTGCTTTCTCTTTGTTCCTTCCCTCCTTCCTTCCTTGCATTCATATGCCACCCCATAGCCAGAAGGCTCTCTGGGCAACTCACAATGCAATCATAACAATGATGCAGATAAAAATAGGTAACAATAATAGTTAAAATCGTAAAACATGAAGGTGGGCCTTCATTGATGATCTGAGTGGCCTGATAGGTATTTATGGAAACAGACATTCCTTTAGATATCCCAGCCCCTTGCCATTTAAGGCTTTATATTTTAGCATGAGCACTTTAAATTTAATATACAGGCTGGAAAGGAGCGAGCATGTAGATAGTATAATCTTGCAGTATGTCAGACTACCTTTGGATTATGGAGGAACCTCAAAATTATTCTGATTGCTTGCTAATTTTCATGGGCCATCACTTGCAGCACACTCTTCAGGCTTCCCAGGGAAGATGTACCTCTTAGTTGCCTAAATTGTCATTGCTGTTTACAAGAATCAGCTGTGGCATTTTGTTAAGTATTTCTCCAAATGTCCTACAGAGTAGTGAAACTTGGATAAATGCCTTGCACACTTTTGAAAAGATGCTACAAGGAATATTCTATATACTACTGGGAACAACCCTGCTTTTCTGTTAACAAACAACTGAATAAATTTGAATTACAAATTTATGTACAAATAGTGAGATGCACAAGAAATCAAGATATTTAAAAAAAAACCTCACTATATAATTTATATTCAGTAATAGTAGAAGTTGGAGAAAATTGTGTCCTTCAGTTCCAATATGTATGGATAAGCTTGACTTAAAAAAGAAAATTTTAAAATCTACCTCAAAATCCCGATTCCAAAGTTATTGCTATTAACATATGAAAAACTGCTCTTTGCAATGTGAAAGCTTGCAGTGCTACATTAATGGGTCATGCAGCAGAAATCAAGTTAGATTATATACATTCATAAGAAAGTCAATGTCCAAATGCTTCCATTTTTTCTCTGCTGATACTAGTTTTAGCTAGATGTATAATTCTCAAATGAGATGATCAGTGAAGGGAAAATGGGTTGATTCCAGTTATACATAGAATAAATTAATGGGGATCAATGGGTCATATTTATGAACAGTTACTAAACCCAATATATACTTGGTACACACACTTGTTAAAACATTTTGCCGCTTCAGCTGTTCATCAGCGTTGGTCTACCAGTTTGAACCGGATCACTGTTTTATTAATATTGTAAGTGTAAATTTGTATTTAAGGTTTTTAGCTATACAAAGCATAACATTTGTCAATTTAGAACTCTTGTATAGCTTACCCAGCTTAATGGGCAACTAAAGCATGAAAGTGTATGGTCAGGATTACTTTGAAAGTAGATTTAGCAGGACTTTTGGTTAAGTTATTCTTGATAGTTTTCATCTGTTTCTATTGCAGCAATAATCTATAATCACATAACGTCTCCCACAGCCTTCTGTTCCCCCACCACCCCCTGGATCTTTCTACCACCCCTGGGGGGCGGGGGGAAGTACTGCCAACTTTGGGAATCACTGATTGACAATATAATCACATGACTGTGCTCTCCTCTAACATCATTCTAGGATGCTACCAGCAGGATGGGGGAAGCAATGGAAGCAAGTTGTCTTTCTAATTTCCTGCTGTTTTGTTTTCCACCTAGAGAAGGCTTTGAGCCCACCTAAATCAGACACTGATAAGGACAGGGTCTAGAGAGTCCACAGGATTTTTTGTAATTGGTGCCTCCACTTTCCATCCTCTTAAGGGACTCTCCAAGTTCTTCTGAGGTCACCTTTGCAGCCAGCATGGTTCTTTCCATGGGGACTGCAAGACAGTGTGGGGAGAGGAAATGGATTTCAGAGTCCCACTTCCATGGTTGTAGCACAGTCTATGACTGAAGAATCCTATGGTCTCTAGGATGCTTTCCCAGGATCATAGTGGCTTACCTCAAAGGAGCAATATAATATACATTAATATAGGTGTTTAATATTTTATGCAAGTTTGTTAACCAAGTAAGGCAGTAAAACAAGGCCAAAGCATACAGGAAAGAGACTTAACCATTTTATTCATGAATATTAACAATTTATTGAAACTAATATATTTGCAAAATCTGCTCTTGATCCTGCTCTAATTGCACAACTAGGTAGCTTGCTTGCTCGCTCATATCCTGGCCACCTGTTTCTCCCCTCCCCGTAAAATGCTCCCTTTAACTCCTCTTCAAGGCCTCTTTCCTGATTTCCTGACCTTAAGAGTACATCCACATGGTTCTTTCCAGGCCTGCATCAAGGGAGCAGGGGAGGGGAGTAAAGCACCAATCCCCAGCTCCAAGGCCAGGATGCTGCCTCTGACCTCAGAGCTAGGAATCTAAACTCTCCTATAAGGCTACAGGATCATTCCTTCATATTCTTGTGGACATGTATTGTATTGAAAAAAAATATCACCACCACAAATTGCCAGACTTGATTTCCATTGTTGAATTTCTTGTAGTCAGGAATATCAGTCATTCAGTGCTTAAAGACCAGAGTTTTCATTCACAGGACTGAAGAAAAGTTTGGGAAAACAAAGAATGCTATCTCCTTATCCCAAGTCCTTTCTTCTTGTGGTACCAACACATGATAGATTAGCCACACTTGCTGCTGTTTAACAGGGGAGCTTCAGTATCCCTTTCTTCCTCTGAATCTCGCTCTGCAATCCAACTTTTAAGAAGAAACAAACTTAAATTAGAATTGAAACATTCTGATACTATAGCCATCAATTGTTCCAGCATTTGTGTTTTATAAAAGACAAATTCAGCAGATTTTGTACCTCTTAGAAAGCTATGGAGGAGGTATTTGTCTTGACATCCACAGGAAAACCACAGCATTTGGGGTAAAGATAGTTAAAGTCCCTTCTCCCAGCTCTGGATAATTTTATCTCATATTAAAGGAATAGAAACTGGCTAAAAGTTCTTCAGAAAAGGTTATGTCTAAAGTATACTTGCCTGGTCTGGCATGATTTTAAAAGTAAGCACTTTAACTTGATCCTGTATGCACCTGAGTAAACAAATGCAATTGCAGTAGAACTTTTTAAACATGCTCTTGCCTCCATCCCTGTGGCATTCTACCACAGTTTTGGAAATCCCATATAATGGGGCTGGGCAAATGGACTTGCAAGAACTGCTTTCTTTTTATTTATTTGCATAACAAAGTAGAATATAAAAAAGGAAAAAAAGATACCAAGGGGTTTTCACAATTAAATATAATAGCAACTTCAACAAATTTCACAAGAAGTGGGTAATTGTTATCTTCTACACTCAATATTAATTAGTACTTAATTGAATCTCATAGAGCAATTGTTATTATTTATAATTCTTAATACTAACCTATTTCCCATTCCTTTTGAATTAATTTTGAGTCACAAAAAGCATCTGTAGTAAAATTATAACTCACTTATATTTTACAAGCTGTATTTTCATTATTAATTATATATTATAAGCCTTCCATTTATAAAATTCTTTAGCTAGTCTTCTGTTAATGTAACTGGTTAGTTTTGCCATTACTGCATATTCAGCTAGCCTATTTTTTCAGTCTTCTCTAATGGGGCAGTCTTCTGCTTTCCATTTTGATGCAAAACTGCTTTGTTTTTAGAGCCCTAAGTTACATACAAGCAACTGGAAAAATAAGACATCTTGAATTAAAGAATGCTTAGCCCAGGAATTTGTTCTGAATATAGAACTTAATGGTATTCTGACTTCTTGCACACACAAAATTATTCCTGGTTATCCCAGGTTTTTTTTTTTTTTAATTTCAGCAACTTAATTTAGGGTGGGTGGGAGTCATTTTGTTGTTGCTTTTGAGTTTTAGAAATCCTTGTTGATCTACTCTATTGCAAGTCATCCAGAGATCTACTAGTTCTACCTTTTGTCCACTCTGACAATATAAAGCTATCATTTTAGTCAATCTAAACTTCAAGTTTATGAAAGCAAAAATTAGCATGGCAAGATTCCTTTGCTCCAAACAGGCTCAGATTCTGTACAACAGATGCAACTGATAAAAGGTGCAGCTGACCGCTGACACATCCTAATTTTCCAAACTCAGGCTATGAATATGTTTCATTGAAGTGTATGCTCCAACAAAGCAAGCAGAACAGTTCTCCCAAAAGCACTGGAATTACCCACTAAACATCACCACTCTTATCAGTGGACTCAAATTCAGTTTTCTTAATCTTATCTACTTGCCCAGTTTTCAAATGCTGATTTAGAACTAAGAGTATAACTCCAAGATACTCCCAAGATACTCGGAGAAAGAAAAGTAGAGCTAGGTGTCATCATCGATGTAGTGACAATACCCTTTACTGAAACGTTGAGTGATCTGTCCCGCAATTTCCTTCCTTTACACCAGTTTCCTATAGTAACATCAGATGACCTCAGAAAGAGCTGTGCTTGGAGAACCTACAGAAAGGACCTTTCACGATGGTGAAACACTGAACCCTCTTGAGGAGACATTAATTGTTCATTAAAATTATAAATCAGCTAGGCTTTGTCCCAGTCTCCTTTGCCATGAATGAACCAAATTATCTAGAGGTAAAAAGAAATGGCCTCAATGCCGAATGGCTCCCAGTGGAACCTACAAAGTAGTCCATTAAGACAAAGTTTATTGTATCTTAGCAATTTGCCATCATATAAAACTATAACTCTTTTAACAAACTTTCAAAAGTTGAATACTTCCTCTTTTTTATGGACTGTTGTAAACCACCCAGAGAGCTTTGGATGTGGGGTGGCATAGCAATGTAGTAATAATGATGATGATGCATTCTTTGTACTTTGTTATGTGCACCTGAAAGCATTGACAAGAAACTTAGATGTTCTAAAAGATATGCATTTGTCAGCATTAGACAATAAGAAACAAACAGGGTCAAATGCCAAGTTCTGCACCTAAGAAAAAGAAACCCGATGCATCATTACAAGATGGGGAATTCTTGGCTCAACAATACTATGAGTGAGAAGGATTTTGGAATTGTTGTAGATCACAAGCTGAATATGAGTCAACAATGTGATGGGGCTGCAAAAATGGCAAATGCTATTTTAGGCTGCATTAATAGAAGCATGACTTCCCCATCACATGAAGTACTAGTTCCTCTTTATTTAGCACTGATTAGGCCTCATTTGGAGTATTGTTACCAGTTCTGGGCTCCACAGTTTAAGAAAGATGCAGACAAGCTGGAAAGGATTCAGAGGAGGTTAACAAGGATGATGCAGGGACTGGAGACAAAGCCCTATGAGGACAGATTGAAAGAACTGGGCATGCTTAGCCTTTCAGTGCTCTATGAAATCTGTACATAAACTAACACAATTGCAAGAGTTAATGTATTTGTAATGCACCCACATCAAATGTTTCAGTGGTATTATAAAATTGTACTTAATACTGCACTTAAAAAAAAGTTAGAATACTTTGCAGTAGAATCTACCAACTCACCATGGATCTTTTGCATTCAAACAATGAAACCAGAAATTTGTTACAGTGTCCTTCTTTCAAGCATTGTCTGGGGCTTTTCCCTTCCTGTCACAAAAGATAACAGAATAAGCACCAAATAGGCATAGGCACTACAGAAATTTTTAACATTTTAACTCTGCTTTTCAAAATAAAATCTTGTTTATAATGAGCAAAAACAATAGTAAAGAACAATTAAAGGGAACATAAAAGCAGGCAGAAACAAATGTTTTGAAACTTATCTTGAGAGTCAAGCAGAGTCAATAAAACATTCTTGGACAACCTTATGGAATAAAAATAATGTATAAGAACTGCAAGAGAGCTACCCAGGTAGGAAGTTTTACAACCATAAAGTCCTAGTCTCTGGTCTCTTTTAATCTAATCTAATGAAGGGTACGGGAGCAAGAGCCCAATCTTAGGGCTTGGTGGGAAGATAAGGAGTACATTCTTGCTCTTTTACATAAAATCCACCAGGGTGAAATATTGTGTTATAAGATGAACTAATGTGAAAATGCTGCACCTCAATTTGACAATTTGTGAGAAGCTACTGCTCTAGGTAGTCTTTTAACTCTATTCCTCAGAAGTAAGATTGGTGCATAATTTTTACTGTAGTCTCTATGTTCTTGCATAGCCTAATCCTGCATATTTAAATCCCAGGCCAACAGTCCATACAGAAAAGGGCTTTGTTCTGTTTTTAATGATACAAAATTAGAACTAATTTCATGATTCTTTATTACAATTCACCTTTTGAAATATCTGAGGTTTGTATTCAGTGTTAACCCTATTTGGACTAGCTCAGTGAAATGTCTATAAGCAGTATTTGACTAACATTAGATAAAAGCCTTTCTCTTACATGCATGCTAGAGACGTCATTTAAAAAGTTTGCTAGATTAGATTTTCTTCTTTGCATCAGTACTATACTCTTACAATTTTAACAAAAGGAAGCCATATTTAGTTTAATGGAAATTAACCCGTAAATTGTAAGCCTTAGTAACACTCATACCCTTGTTCAGACATAATTTTAAAGAAATTAGCATTGGAGAAAGGCTAAAATCCTATCCAGACTTGAGAGTAAGTCCCATAGCTTATTAAACTTGTTTCTGTGTAAACAGGCTTAATACTGGGCTGTGACACAGTAGTCCAAAACACTAAGAAATTTGATTATGTTTACTGGGCTAATTCTTACCTAAGCATACACAGGACTGTAGCTTCAGAATCACCAATGAACTGGGATCACCTATGTCTGGAATGGTAGGCCTAATGTTAATTTGACTAATAAGTCTTCATACAAAACAATATTGTACTACTTTCAGTAATTTCACACAACTGTGGCCATAGTGGTTCTTCCAAAAGTAACAAATTAGGGCACAGGATATCTACAAGACCTTGCTTTATAACAAAATACTTTGCTCTGCTGGAGTGTATGCAAAATAAAATGTTTATTCACACTTACTAAACCACTGCAATTCCAGCTCAGGATAGATTACATATATTTACATTTGAATTAAAAAATGGAGAAGGGGAGAGCACTAATTATGTATAAAGCTAATTGTATGGAAGAAGGGAGATGTTTAAAGATCAAAATGACTGTGGTCCCATAAGCATCATCAATTTCTACCCATTCTTCAAATCTTTTCTTTCATGCATTTTCTTTTTTTCAGATCAACAGTCTCAATATTTTACAGACTTTTCATCCAGTACATTAGCTTAGTTCAAAATCTCTTGTACAACTTGCTCCTAAGAGTATAGTGTTATTCCCACCAAGTTAAGGCCCTTGCCCAGAATGTTGTGTTTACAATCTGATGATTCAAAAAATATGGAAATGGAAGGGAAGCTTCCTTCCTATGGAAATAAGATTTATACACCAATCACACTTGATATTTTTATTTAGAGCTCTGATGCATTTGTTATAACAGAGGGAAGAATAGCATACTGAAAAGTAAGCAACAGCTGAGAAACCATTTGGCTACAAACCCTGGAGTTTCTTCTTGGGCTACATGAAAGTCATTTGTGGCCTTGGCAAAACTTAACAGGAAAATGTTCCATGTATCTAATATATGCAGTAAGTAAATTTTTATGTGATGTGTATGAAAACATATGAAATGGAGGTGACCTCTGCAACTTTACAAATTATTTTATTTTATTCCAAGAAGAGAAGACTCTTCCTGGAAATAAACAAACGCTGATGTCAATGAAGTCTATTTCAAAATAATTAAGCTTAGGACTGGAGCCAAGTAGCCAAACCTGGTTCTCAGAAACTCATTCCCAAAGAACTCCCAAATATGAAGCATACCTTGTAAAATGTAGAAAATGGCATATTACATGTGCCAGAAGATTAACAGCATTTCTGTACTTTTATGACATAGGATATTTTACCTTTATGGAGGAGTTCGCTTGAAGAGGAACATTTACATTTTAACTTAAATAAGGAATCTAGTAGCAAGATTACCCGCCGAGTTGTATGGACGTCCTACCAATTATACTGCAGCCTTACAAATCCAGGCACCTGGCCAGTCAGTGGGTGACTTTGCTCCTGCCACAGACTCTTAGCCTAACCAACCTCACAGGGTCGTTGTTGTAAAGCTAACACGAAGCTGTATAAGCCGCGCTGGGTTCCTCACAAGAGGAAAAAAGGCACGACGTAAACTCTACGCCATAATGACACGATCATCCCGGCCAGCCCCCCAAGGAGCAGCCGCAACGGATTCCCCCAAGCCGCCGGCCCGCTGCCCGCGCTACCTCGGCGACGCACGCATGCTCCACCAGGCAGGTGACCAGGTCCTCGCGCACCCCCGAGCACGCGCGCCCGTCGCTCTCCTTGCCCTCGTAGTACTTGGGCATCCCGGCCGCCTCTCGCAACGTCGCGAACCTCCCAGCAGCTGCAGCCCAGCGCGCGGTAGCCCACCCCGACCTGCTCACGGACGTCACTTCCGGCGTTCTCGCCGAGAGGCCTCCCCCCCCCCGGGACGGAAGTGAGAGCTGCCCACACAAACGTAGGGAGAAATTTAAGCTACGCGGTGCCACTCTGGTAAAGAAGGCGGGGGCAAACAAGTAAATAAACAAAGACGCTTCTGTTCTGTGCAACTTTAATCATTTCTTAGCAGTCGTGGAAAAGCTTTTTTCCCAACCTTCTGGCACTGAAAAACCTGCAGGCACGCACGCACCCCCCTTTGCAGTGTAATCCAGGAGGCCTTTGGATGTTTTGATAATGAAATGGCACATAACTGACTTAAATGAATGTTGTATCCTGAGTAGCATATAACGGACTTTTAGCGTTGTCTAGTGCTGGAGGCTTGGGTTTACGTCGAAAGGACAGGAGAGCCTAGAGGAATGTTGTTCATGGGGTCCTGATGGGTCGGGCACGACTGAACAACAAAAGCAGCATTCAACAATTTTGCATGTGGCCGATAGTTGCTATATATCCGTATTGCTGTGCTGAGACTGCTTGTTAGAGTCCGATTATGTAGACGAATTTCCAACTAATATTTCCCCCATACAAAACGCCCCTCAGATTTCAGCAAAGGGAAACCACTTAGGCGTAATCCTTTGCAAATTTAGACAAATCAAAGGCCTGCAACTCCCAGTATAATTCTCCAATACTGGGATTGCATGCTTGGAGTTGTAGGCCTTTTTTCCATCTAAACTTGCATGGCATTGCCTCCTCAGTGCTACCTCCATGCCAAATCAAGCGCTCAGTTGCGTGCAGGGGCTTCATTCTCCGTTGAATTGCATGCTGGTTACACAAGTCCAAAAAGGTCTTTTCTTTCCGCGCAAAGGCCCAAGTTCGAAAGGCCGTTCCAAGGGGAGAGTGGGAAAAACTGAAAGGGTGAAAAAACCGAAAAAAAAATCACGCCCACTCCTCGCTGATAAAAGGCCCGCACACACCCTACGCCTCTAACGTCAACATCGCAGACGGAGCCTACCGGCATGCACCGCGACGCGTCAAGGCGCTCGCGCAGTCGATCAGCCGACCTGGGTCTCGTGCGCGCGCATGCGCCTTGTCGGAAGTTGGGGGAAACAGGAGCTCAGCTGTTGTGAGTTGGCAGCGGCGGTGCGGGCGGCGATAAGAGGAGTTCGTTTGAGTGGGGGGCGGTGGCAGGGCTCCGTTTTACCGCCCCGAAGAAAAAGGGCGGGGCAGCAGTGGTAGTGTCGCGAAGGCGGCCGGGCCGGGCGCGCCTTGCGCGGAGGTCCCGGGTGGGGCGAGACCCCCTCGCGTCCGCCCCGTGGCTCTTCGCAGGGGCGCGCTCGCCTCTCCCGCCTTCTCGTCGCCAGTTCCCAGCCTCGGAAGGTGCTGACGGGCTTTTCTCTGCCTCTCCGTCGCTGGGCAGCTGCTCCGGGCTCAAGTTAGTCTTCCCAAGGGGGTTTCTAATGTCTTACCGAAATACTTCTCCTGTACCTAGTCTAGCCTTCCTTACCTTGGTGCTTTCTCCAGATGTTTTGGACTACAACTCCCAGCATTCCTTACCGGGGGCATGCTGGCGAGGGCTGATGGAAGTTGAAGCCCTAACTCTACGGAGGACGCCACATTGGGGAGGGCGGAAGTTGGGGGGTGAGGCTTGCTATGTGACTTTGGATACAGCTGTGTGCACAGACTCATTGAAACCAGCAAGTGAATGGGGATAGGCCTTTGTTGAAATGTGCATGTAGAGCTTGTTCCTGCTGTGCAAGTGCACTAATCAGTGGGTGCTTTGTTTTTCTTTGCTTTCCTCTCTTCCACATCCACTTGGCTGACTGTAGCATTCTTTTAAACACTACCTCTGTTTCCCCTGTTTTTATGGTACAGCTGGCCTGTTCTTAGAAAAGCTGTCCTTTGCAAAATTCATTCGGTCTTTGCTATTTAACTTCTGCTGCTTTCTGGATCGAATGCTCCCATTTTTGCTTGTTCTTATTTGTGGCCTCCAGTTGGTGGTTCTTCGAGGTAAAGAGTGTATCCAAGTCTTCTGTGCAATTACTGAGTGCTGAGTCATGGGCTCATGGAGCCCTCTGACACTAAAGAAATATGGGGATACATATGGCCCAGTTTAGAAAGAGATATGTACTTTAAAGATTATTTTAGATATTGGCGATTTTGCCTGTCCCCCACCTTGAGTTCCCTTTTAAAGAAAGAGGTGGGGTATAGGCTTTTAAAATATGTTTAACAAGCAAAAGGTACTATATATGCAGAGTGTCTTTAAGATACTTAGTAGCAATTCTGCAAAAAGTTGGGAGTGATTTCTTCCACATTTGTGGGCTAATAGCAAATTGTGAATTTGAATTACAGTTTCAGTCCAATGTTAAGTCACTATAACACACCCCCAGCTGTGACAAGATGTACAGTGCTAAGTATACTCACAATATAGTAGGTTTTATTACATCCCAAATAAGTATTAGGCTACAAGATCTCCACTTAAACTCTTTGAAGACTTGTTATGTTGCACAGCTGGTAATACAATGATTCACTTATTAAGAGATAACATACTAAATAGTGGGGTCTACTGAGGTGTATTTAGAATGAAGACCTGTGTTTCTGAGGTGCACTCTCTAGTTAAAGTGTTCAAAACTGCTGCCTCCATGTAGTCATTTGCAGTTATTGTCTCAATAATAATATCAATTCTGTTTTCCTTTAGAAGAATGCTGCCGACCACATCAGTTAATTCCCGAGATCAGGGCAATGGATCTTTATCCTCTAGGGAGGCAGCAAGGCACACAGCTGGAGCAAAGCGGTATAAATACTTGAGGAGACTCCTCCACTTCCGGCATATGGACTTTGAATTTGCTTTATGGCAAATGCTATATCTGTTCACTTCGCCACAGAAGGTATACAGAAACTTTCAGTACAGGAAACAAACAAAAGACCAATGGGCAAGAGATGACCCTGCATTCCTTGTGTTGCTTAGTATCTGGCTATGTGGTAAGTACCTGTGAATGCTCCTGAATATCTTAAATACCAACAGTATAAGGACAGCAGTTGCTGTCAGTAGGAATTGCATGAAAAAAATACATTGAGCAGTAGTTCTGAGTCACGTCAAGCTAAAACCCATGTGTATGTTCCCCATATATTGACATTTTGAGTGTAGCACACATTTTCTCTTGTGCCTTCATTATTAAAACCATGATCTGTGAGTAGACAGTAGACATCAGTGGGTGCCATTTATTTTGCATGCCATTTTTGCAGTGATAAACATTAACCACAACAACATATTGTGAGTTATCTTCAAGGAACTGAAGCACATGCTGGCCACCATTATGAATATATAACTCCAGAGCAGGGGCTTGCCATGACTTGTGTTATGCAGACCTGTTCAGTGAGTGTAATTTGAGAGTGAAACAACCCATGTATAACCCATGGTCTTTTCTAGGATTATGCAGGAGTCATTTAATCCTCAGATAACACCTCCTTGGCCACATTTGCACAAATTGACAAGCCAAGGTATTACCCTAGTCAGGAGTTGCATATTCATAAGGTTATTTGGTGCATGCTGTGGCTTTTCAAGGGTACACTACCCCATGATGGGCTGTTACATTGGGCAGACTGACCCACTCTCTCATACCCTGGCTGCCCTTTTTTCCCTATAGCATTTCACTTTCACTATATGATTTCTGGCAAGCAGCTAGCACTTAAAGGTTCCAAGTACTTAAAACCCAAATATCTTTGCAAAAGTACAAAACAAATCTTGTGATTTAATCACTTGAACCACTCAGATCTGTACTTATTTTGTAACAGTGACTCATACTTGAAAATGTAGATTGTAGGATTTTTAAAAATGCATGCACATCCAACACAAATTCAGGGGCCACACAATGCCCCACTTCTTTATATAGTGAATGTGATCCAGTTAACTCAAACCATGTACAAGCACATTTCTTATGCTTTTAGAGATCATAATGAGTACGTTTTCAGCAATATATTTTGTTGTAATACTTCTGAAGGGACAGTACTAAAGAATTGAAAGTTGCAAGTCTTTTTCTTATTGTTTTGCTGAGATTATGTGCATGTATTCAGATATTTAGTGAGGCTACATCAAGTCAGGAATATTTAAGAACTAGTTTGGTAGCTGTGTGCAGTCAGGAATTCAATGTACGTGAGTGAGCTTGTGCAGAAGAGATGGAGCTCTCCCTTCATCCTCTCTACCCAAGCATAGTAACCTAGTGAACAACCTAATGTAACAAAGGTTTCCATCCCTCTCCTGCCAGACTGTAGGGGGCTAGTCTCTCCCCCCACCCTTTCTTTCTAGGCTAGCAACAGGGCTGGACTAGCTGACACACATTACAATGTGTGCATGTGTCTCTAGATAAGAGTTTTGCAAGTTTATACATGTTAACTAGGAAGATGCTATTGAAGTGCAACCAACTATAAGAGCCATGACTTTCAACCTGTCAGTGGTATTGATAGTAAAGTAGTAAAACAAAAAAATCGTGGAAAAGGTAGACCTCTCTCAGCAGAAGGATTTAATGGGGAGAGAAACACATTACTGTACTCAATGAGTAATTTTTATAAAATCTCTTTGTACCACACTAAGTTAGCTTTCTCTGGCCAGAGCCAGACTGCCTGAGGACAGTAGTTGTATTCCGTATCAGGAGGGTACCACGCTTTGGAAAGTTTAATCCTAATGAAAGGAAATTTTGGTGGCACGTGGGCATTTCTTGAAAGTTGGGCACTTTGTATTATCAAATTATGTGTGTGTCCTGTTTTCTTCATCTTTCAGTATCCACTATAGGATTTAGCTTCGTGTTGGGATTTGGCTTTATTGAAATGATTAAGTTGCTACTTTGGGTCGTGTTTATAGACTGTGTAGGAGTTGGTCTCCTAATTGCAACTTTAATGTGGTAAGTACCTTTAATGGCAAATATGGAAGCATGGGGGTTGTATTTGAATCATCTGATTTACACTGTGATTTACTAAATGGGAGACCAGCCTTAAGCATGCATATTATGTGTAAGTCCCACCAAAATCAGTGTGGCTTATTTTAATGTATAACTATTAACTATGAAGGTACCTGGTGATAGTCTGGCAAAAGTCATCTGTTTAAGATTTGGCTAAAACTCCGCAACACTTGAAATGTACTATAACAATACTTTATGGTGCTGGTATCACAACTGCCAATGCAAATATCAGAATTAGCTTCCAAAGATGGAAAACTACTTTGAACCACAGCAGCCTGTTCACTGCCCTATTGGGCAGCATTTTAATCTGAAATATGTGGACAAAGACTTCCAATTTTCCTGATTATTGGGCATGCTGGCTAGGGCTGACTGGAGTTGGTCCAAAGCACTCAGAGCGGGCTGGCTTGAGCAAACCTAGAAAAATGATTAGGTTTAGGCTGCTTTGGCATGTGATATGCCATTCTGTTTTTAATATGATGGGAAAGAAGAAACCCTTTGACTCTTACCCTTACTCAAGCAATCTTGAATTGTATTTTTATAAGTCTGCTTTTAGGAAATCAGAACTCTTCAATATGCATTTTAGTCATTTTTCCATTGTGAATGCCTGGTCCAAAATACTTGGTTTTGTGAGTACAAAATACAGCAAATTTTGGGAAGATTAATGGTAAACAGTAAAGATACATATCTCATTTTCTGTAGTTTCAATCTTATATTGAAACTTTTTAAGCTTGATATTTTTAATGTGTTTTTGAATTTTCCCTCCCAAAAAGGTTCGTTTCAAATAAGTACTTGATAAAGCACCCGAACAGAGAATTTGATGTGGAGTGGGGCTATGCCTTTGATGTTCACTTGAATGCTTTCTATCCTCTTCTTGTCATCTTGCATTTCATCCAGCTGTTCTTCATTAATTGTAAGTAATTCTTCCCGTCTCTTATTTGAATCATGTTCATCTTCATTTTGTTGACTGACACTATAATCATCTCTTGCAGATGTAATTTTATTGGATTCATTTATTGGCTATTTTATTGGGAATACCTTCTGGCTGATTGCAATTAGTTATTACATCTATGTGACATTCCTAGGGTACAATGGTAAGTAATGATAAAATCTTTCCCACCTAGTCAATGAGGTGAATCAGGCTTTACTTCAAAACTCCTTTCTGGTATTTCTTATGCAATGTTTTTGGTGCTGTGTGTAAACTGTAATGTATTACGATAGAGGTTTGGTGGACAGGGGGAAGGATATAGTTTGCAGCCGGGGGGTGGGGAGTGTTAATTGCAACTCTTGAAATGCTTTGTGTACATGGCATGTAGTAATTCTAGCTCATTCCATTCTACTTCTCCTCAATATAGATGGTGCCATCGTGCTACCTACAAACTAACATAATTAGGATTTCAAATTGACAATACAAGCAAGTATGGGTTAGATCGCTGTATCTATCTAGAGAGAGAGAGAAAGATTTTGAGGCAGCAAGTTGTATAGAAAGTGGGCAGTTGTGCAACCTTCTGCCACTGCAGTTCCTCTCAATTGTCCTTGCCTCTTAAACCCAGTCTCTCTCATCCCAATATTCATTTAAGGTTTTCCTTTATATAAGGAAGGGCTGTGTTTACTAGAAATAGCATTTGCTCTGGGATTCTGTGCTTTCTCAAAGGCTGACTAGCCTTCAGATTTAAGATAGTTCATAAGAAATGGGAAGACCCTCCCCTACAAGCTTCTGGCTGCTGCTACCAGTTGAAGTAAATGCTACTTTGTGTTGTATTAAAAGTTCTCATACCTCTTTCAGCATTGCCATTCCTGAAGAACACGGTCATTCTTCTCTACCCGTTTGCGCTTCTCATTGTGATCTACGTTGTTTCATTAGCAATGGGATGGAATTTCACACGCGCACTTTGCTTTTTCTACACGTATAGAGTGAAATAAGGTGGACTTTATCAACAGAGCAACTGGACTACTGGTCAGACCTTTTGTACAAATAGGTGCATAGGTGAGATAAACAGGCTCTTGTAAATCATTGTAAATAACGTTCTCTTCACTGTAGATCAGTGTGTATAAAATATTTGGTTTTTAAAAATTTACAGTTGCAGATAAAATTCTGTATTCTTCTGTAGGCCCTTCCTCATGAAAAGTTGTACATCTCTGTAATAAAGATTTTTTAATCAAGTAAATGGTACTTTCTATACCATAGCTAAGTTTAGCATTATTAATGAAGACATTCATAAGTATTTCACATTTCAAGATAACTAGGGAAGCTTCAGTTCTGAGGATGCTTCCATTTTGCCTGAGAATAGCTTCACACAGGCCATAGCTTTCTGTCCTGCTTCTTGCTGAGAATTAGCTCCAGTGGAAGTGTCAAGAAAAGGAGTAGCAGTTTGGTGGCTTGTCATCTTCTGTTAAATACACAGGGATGTGAGAGATGCAGAAAAATACAAAATACACACAGGCTAAGGAGGAAAATGTAACTGTGACCAAGAAGAATAGGGGAATATATTTCTGTAAGGCTTTGAGCTGTAATCAAGTCTCTTTATCTTCAAGGTCACAGGTGAGCCTGAATTAGCAAGATCTAATGTCCTATAGGCAACTCTGTCAGCAGCAGATAATATTGCCAGGCCTTTCCTAAGAAGCAGGTCACAGTCATAACACAGGGTTCATTAAGTTCTAATGTAGTGATTCTGCTTAGAAATGCGAGTGCATAGTTTCTCAACGCAGTGTTATTTGAAAGATTTGAACTAGGCTACTTGGAAGTGATGAAGTAGAAGGATGCTTTCCTTATGTAATGTTTTTGCTGAAGTAACACAGGCAGAATATATATATTTTTAAAATATTTATTTAAATATTACATGGGCAGCTGTGGCACATAGAACGTTGATGAAAGGCACAGTTAACATGACCCAATTAGGTTTTCAAATATAGCAGCAAGCTTAAGAGTCAAAATCTAGCTCTAAAAATTTTTTTACAGCAAGTACTGTAGATGGAAACACATTGTATCTGAAAGAGACTGGGTGAAGGACCAAAGTTGCAGATTCTACAAGAGCAGGAACAGAAACACAACTACCAAGCAGACAGATGGGGTTCATTAATAAATTAAACCATTTATTAATGAACTAATCAGTAAATTACTAAAATTTATTTTCTTAGGAAAAATAAGCAAGGAAAGAAGACCTTAATCTATTAGCCATTATTAAGGCTTAACATTCAAACGGCGTGTTCAAATCTTGGCAAACACAATTCAAGTAATGTACAAATTTGATCCTTCAGAAAGAGGGACACACAATTTGTGAGGCTGGTTATGTTGTGGGCCTTGCCCACCTCTTCTCTACAAGTAAAACATAATAACAATTGCTCTTTTGCAGGAGGAGGAAGAAAAGCAGGTGGTTTAGGAACCTCCTATTTCTGTGAAGTGGGAGTGACATCTTTTAGCATTTAAGATTATTTAGACATTAGCAAACATTTGAAACAGCTTTGTTTAATTGCTTCCAGAAAAACCTTGATCCTCAAGTTTTAAGATTCATAATTAACAGCATCAATAGAGTGATGGTTCAACTGTGTTTATACCAAGATGGAGTTAACGATTCAACCTACTCAGCTCTGAGTGTGTACATTGGTGATATGCCTGTGTACACCAGTTGCTGAGGAGCTTGTACAGGTAGAACTCTTGTACGCATCCTGCTTGAGGGGTCTTGTGGGCAGCTGGTTGGCCCTTGATTCAGACTGCTGGACTGGATGGACTGTTGGTCTGATGCAGCATGGCTTCTCTTATGTTGATACACTTTTAACACATCAGCACTTAGCTAACCTAACGTAATTGGAGAATTTTTGGTTTTCTGTTTAAACTGTTTTATACATAAATTTAGTCTTTGCTCCTGCAAGGGGATTGTAGTTTCTAGTAGCCCTGATGACCATAATCCAATCAGCACATTTGTGTTCAAGTTTTGCTCACTTTCTTTGTAAAGGTCTATTCAAATTTGCTGAACATTAACTTTATTCAACCATTTATTCTGAGCTTCAACTTGTGACACTTATACTAATATTTACATAAAGCCTTCTATACATCTCACATTTCATAAAAATAAGACCTTTTCTGATCTATTACTCTAATATAAAATTCAGCATTTGGAATAAGTTACTGCCAATATTTTCTAGCAAGTTTCCAAATAGTCACTGAAAGAATCCAGAGAAATTCTCCAGAATCACAAATCTACTGCAACAACAAGCAGCAAGGAATTGCAAATACATCCCTTTATCAGGGCAAGAACAAAATATGGAAGTTTAGTGCTAGCCTTAAATGTCACATTGCTCCAACAATTGCTACATCAAGCTGGTCTTACACAGCTATCCAACAGGAGCATTTGGGCTTTTGCTGGTGGTACATGAAGTAAAAGTGCTCCAGAGTGTGATCATTTTGCTGAGGCAAGTTACCATTCCCTAACAGTATAGTACTGTTAGCTGTCCTTTTGTTGCAAGACATTTCTTTGTTTTCAATTAGCAATAAAAATGTTAAGCCCAGAATTTGCTTTCCATGGACAGAAGGGGTTCATTCACAAAAGATAACGCTACCTAATTTTGGAGGATTCCTCTTTATGGGTCAAGCCTATTCCTCCAAGCTTTTGTTGTAGCATTTTTGAGGGGCCTGACACAGAAATGGAGAAGGGGCAGGGAATGAGACTTCTCCCAGGCCACCTATGCCTATAATTCAATCATTTGGTGGTAGTTTTGTCCACTGTTTCTGCATTTTCTCCCCTTAATTGTGTGATGATTTGTGACATGGAATGGGTTTTAATTTGGAATGTCTTCCATTCATGGAGGGGGAGAGGTCTTTTGCTGCTGGGAAGAAATTGTCAAAAATTTATGCTAGGGCTCAGTGCAGTGAGACATTCATGCTGAAATCCCAAATACTAGGTAATAAACACCACTTAATGTAGTGGAATGTCTGAGTAAACATGATTAGGATTGCACTGGCATAAACTAGCTTTGATTTTTGGATAACAATTGGTAAACAAAGCCAGATGCAGTAGTAAAGAGGCTAGTTTCCATAGGTAATGAACTCAAAAAGGATGGGGAAGGGTGATTTATTGGTCTCTAGAATTTGCTAAGAGATCAGCCAGTTAAAGTTAATACTCGTGCCAAAGATGATACTAGACTTTAATTTATAGCACCAAATGTTGATGAATTTCCATAAATCCTATTGGAATTGGGGACAGGAATGTCAAGCTTATAGTCAGGCATTCATAGCCCAGTAATTTGCTGCATTAGCTGGGAAGCCAGGGCAATTGATTATGTAGTTGTATAGGTTGTTCGGAGCAAAATAAAGATTTTCATTTTCACATACCTTGTTTGAATATTTAATTCATTTTTCCATACGAAATATGCTTACTAAGTGGTCATTCTGAAGGTTTTTTGGACAAGTCTCAGAATTTTATCCCATTCAAATGGCAAATAAGCCAGTGTCATTCCCAGTCATCATGAAGAACACTCTTAAATATATGACTATTGAACTCTTTTACTAGAATATGAATATTAAACTACATTTATTTCAATTTATATTTGGTGTCATAGGCAGCTTAAAGGGTTTGCCAATGATATTTGTAGTAATTAATTTATGTAGCACTCTATCCATCTTGCATTATCTCAAATTGTTTCAACACCCCTGTATTATTCCCATATTTCAGATAAGCTATGTCAGAGAAGGTGGTTTGCATAAACGCCACCTAGGGGTTTCTTCGAAGGATGATGTTTAAGCTAAGGCCTTTAGCTATTTGCTACATAAGCTCTTAAAGACATACATTCCCAGCCAACCAATTCCATAAATATGGGCTAGCCCTAACTTAAAAAAACCAGAAAAATCTCTACTGTGGAAATACCTTGAACAATTTGCAACACTGATTAACATTTTATCATAATGTCACTATTCTTTAGAAACAAGTTCACCACAGATTTAAACAGCAAAAAAGGCTGACACCTTAATTGCATTAATATAGTACAAAACATTTTGACCCTTGAGAGAAGGCAAGACAAAACAATTTTTGGCAAAAGCTTGTATCCAAGACACAGAAGTATCTAAGAATTAGCTTATGATACAAGATACCATAATTTAAGTAAACTTTGTTTACCTGCATGAGTCACAGATGTGCAGGTGAGGTAAAAGCTGAGCTTCTCATTTCTTGGCTGGGGTTAAGAAAAAAATTGTTGCTATTACTAGTTTACTATTGCATGTTTACTGTGCTGCAAAGCACAAAGTGCTTGAATTGCCTCTCTTCAAGGCTACTGACCAAGCAAGCTTCTCATTTTTTTCCTTGAAGTACAAAAAACAACAAGCATTTAGATTGCATGAGCTCTCTTGCTTCAGTCAGTTGGAGTGCAATACTTATAGCAGGAGCTGTACCCTTTTAGAAAGAAAATTACTTTGACATTTAAAGACTGACATTTTTAGAAGCTCAAATGAGGTTATCATGTATCTATTATTCCTCATAAAATAGTCAATAAAGTCATTCCAAAGGATGAATAGCATTCACACCAAAGGGGGAGGCAAAGCAAAAATTTTTAAAAGGCAGACCTCTTAGAATGCTTTTCTATCTGGCCATGTAACCTGGCCATGTTTCAGACAACTTTACAAAGGTTAAAAAGGAATAACCTGTTATCAAAATATCCCTTTAATGGGAAATGAATCAAACCCCAAATCTCTGCAGATTTCATACACCACACTAAAATACAAAATTCCTCAACATGCTAAGATGACCATGTTGTGGACTGTAAGCATTACAGGGGATGCTCCTCAAAGTTCTGGCATGTCATGCATAATATGCCTTTGAACAACATGTCTTTGACATGACACAAGCCATAGGAAAATTCTGTGTAGGTCCCATTTAATGGGATTGCCCAGGAGAACATTTAGTGGAGTGTGTCCTTGGTACGGTACAAAAGTGCTTCATTAGCAAACTCAGTTTAATTATCTTAGTTATGGCAGTATATTACAAAATATGGTTACTTCATTATCAAAGCAAAATGTAGGCTTAACTGAAGGTAATTCATTAAAAAAAACTGCGTCAAGTTATTACCTGCATAAAAATATGTATTTTTCAAATCATTTAATAAATTAAATATCCCTAATGCTTTTGAATATATATCCCTGATAATCTATAAAAGAGGGTTTGCATTAGCAAAATAAATGGACCTTCAAAAAGTACCCCTTCATAAAATGTATTTAACAACTATATTTTTATCTTCAAGGAATGTAACAATATGTACAACTTTACCTAGCATGTCCTATCACAGCTGGATAGGTGAAAGATTACTTAATCCTTAGGCAACAGAGTCATATTCCAATGGAGGAACTTGATCGAGATAAATAATACCAGTAGATTTTCAGTTTGAGAATCTAATAAACCATTCATGTTGTGTCAATTTGCTCATCTACAGTAGATTTCACAGGAGGTAGCATTTTATTGAGTGTTTCAGTAAGAGTTGGAAATAAGGTGCATGCTCAGTGTCTTCACTGCAGTATGGAGGATTTCTTAGAAAAGTGTTCAGAAGACAAGATTTCATCTTTCCTCTTGATTAATTTGGGAGTTTTTTAATATGAATCTGAAATGAAAATTTGAAACTGAATGTGCGATTGCTTATTAGAAGGAACAAACACTACAGCAAAAGATAGCTTATGTTTTCCAATATGGTTTCTCCCTGTTTTATGCAAGATTTAACCATACTTGATAGCACAGAACTAAAGGAGCTTCTTAACATACATGCGCTGTTTTGTTTATTCTGACACAAAAATGGCCTTTAAATGGAGAAACACTTGTAAGAGGCCTATCATTTACTGTCAAGTATGAGTTTGCTCTAGTAAGTTCTTAACCACAACTTTCCAGTTAATCTAAACTGCTGGTTCTCATACAGCTTGATACAGCTGAAAAACATGTACTCTGTTCTCTTAAGGGTTTTTCAAATTGCAGTTGGCAATCGGTTGGATCCACTTATTCCACAGGCAGTATCCTCTTCTAATGTGTTCGCAGTACTGACCACTAGTACAATAGGGAATTAGCAGTTCTACAAGCAACCTGGAGCAAGTGGAAATACTTGTTTCTGGAGCAGGTCAGTGGAGCTTGCAGAAGCAAAAGTTCTGCTTGTTGCCAGAGTTGCTTTTAGAACTGCACATTACGCTAATGGTTAGTCCGACTGGCATAATACAGTCAGCAGGAGTGCAGCAACCCTAATGGACACTGCTTCATGAGCAGAATTTTGCTCACAGAAGGGATATGCCTGCTACCTGAAGTGTGGGGGTGGGGGGGAGCAAGTTTTCCTGAGTTCTTCCATACCCCCTCTTCAAAACTCAAGGATGGGGGAATCCTCCAGAATGGCATGGAAGGTGGCACAGAAGGAATCTGTGAGAATTCATTAATGCTTTAATCGGTAGGCACCTCTGTTGACTCAAAAGCCCCTCTATGGATGGAATGGCAACTTTAGCTTATCCTAAAATACTTAATACAGCACTGGAAACTCATATTGTATGGTGGCCCTGCTCCAGCAAGAGGAAAAGCACAAGTGCTCTCAAGCTTCCAAAGGTCTAACTACTGAGTTCAGTATATGATACCAGCATTCACGTGATCTAGCTGCAGATACTGTGCATTGAGAAGCCACACAAATTGACTATCTGATGGCACAGAGAGGTTCAGTATAATAGATCCATGGACTAAGGGTGTCATGAAATGAAAAGAACTTAGAGATGAAATATTTGGAGGGACAGTGCTCTAGTTATAGTGTTTAATCCTTACCTCATTTAGAATTGCCCAGACAGACGAATTCTGAATTACTAGAAGCCGAACAGCTGCAATTGGATTTAGACTGGGATCAACGGTTCCTTCTGCTACACTGTTTTCAAATTTGCCTTTGAAAAGCAAAATACATTCTAAACAGGAGAAACATTCTAAAGAAATCCAAGCCATCACACTTAAGAGACATGCAAATCAATTTATAACTGGGTTCAGACCTGTAGTGGTTCCACACACTTCAAAGGCCAACACACACTCAATTTATGTGTAAGTACATAATGCAAATCCATAGCTTCTTTAACCTCTTGGTTGTAGTGATTTGTGAATCCTGCCATGCTAACAAACCAGGATTTGTTATCAAACCAACCACCAAAAAGGAACCCATCATTTGTTCAATTGTGAATTCTGGGTTGTTTAAACCATGGGTTACCTTGTTATGTGCAAAACCAGAAATGTGAGTTGTTCATGGGTTGCTTCTCTAGGCTGTGGAGGTGGTGGTGAAGAGCAATTTAAAAAAGCAGCTGCCGTGCATGTCAGTACTACAGCTCCAAAAAGGCATTTGAGATGCAGGAAGGAGGAAAGGAAACAATCAATGCATTGAGATTGTCCACCATACAATCCCTTGGCAAGGCAACTTTTTAAAACCATAGATTAAATAAACCATGAATTAGCTTTATCTACAAACCAGGTCATTATTATCAATGTTTTTATTCCTGATATATTGTTTAGAAGCAAGTAAAGAGCCATTTAAGTACCTCCCTTTAAAAAAATCCTTATGCAGAAATTCTACTGAGATCAAATCACAACTTTTGATGGAATTCAGGAGAAAGGGCAGTCATTAATTCTCCAAGAGATACTTTTATAAATGAGCTCAGTTTCAACTAAAAATACAATAAATTTATTCAACTGGAAAATAAGTTGCCAAAACATTCAAAGATTTAACAAAACATGAAATATGGTTCTGTACTTGCATAAGTCAAAGGATTTACAATGGATGCAAATAAGGGTTTGAACATAGTTGAATAATTTTATTCAACTGTGGTAAATTGCCTAGAGATCTTCATCTGCTACATGTTACAGAAATAAAATGATAATTATGATAAATTATAAATAGAATAAAATATAGCATTGAACACGTTATTTTTTACATGGTTACCTATTCTGAAATACCCATCTTCCAATCGTTTCTCTTTGGTTTCTTTGCTTAAAACCAATTCTTCACTCTGAAAAACAAGGTGTAAAATTTAAGTGCTGCTATAAGTACCAATGGAGTAAGATTCAGCAGAAAGAGTGTTTCTGCATTCTGTACTTAATGAGAAGCCTGCAAATGAGTCCAGCTTTATTATCTGTAGCAATAGTTTTAAAAATTGTGCAGATGTAAGGGGCTGGGCAGTGTTCAACAAGTTTAGTTGTGTGGTTGATAGAATGACATTTTTATCATGTCAGAAAAAAGAAAAATGCATTCTCTGCTTTCAAAAGAAGTGTCAAGAAAGAAAAACATTTTCTTTTATGGACATGCAAAGGGGGAAGAAACAGACTTCTCTGTATGTATACCTTAAAAGGCAACACTTCCACAGTTGTATTGCCTAATATATCACCAGGATGTTCTGCATTGCCACTATGGAACAGGTATCTGTAGGAAAGAAGAGGATGGGAGAGAAATATCAGTCATGGTAAGGATGGAAGAACACAGGTCACCCAAAAGATACTGCTACAGTTAACTCCTAACCATGTTTACTTGGAAATAAGTCTCACCATGTTCAATGTTCAAACAGGAGGAGGATAAATGTGCAAAGAATTGTGCCAAAGAAACTTAAAGATTTAACAGCATAATGTGAAAATTAACTATTTAAAATGGATTAACCATTTTAACCATTGGTTAACAGCATGACAGCCAGTGAGGTGGTTGGAGTGTGGTACTGGGGACCTGGGAGATCTTGGTTCTAGTCCCTGCTCATCCATGAAGCTTACTGGGTGACTTTGGACCGGTAATGGACTCTCAGTCTAACTTAGCTCACAGGGTTTTTGTTGTGAGGATAAAAATGGAGTTGAGGAAAGCCATGCAAGCTTCCCTTGTGTTCCTCAAAGTGTTCCTCAAAAATGCAATGTAAGGAATGCAATGTAAGTATTATGAAAGATGATTGCAGTTGCATAAACGAAGCACTCCTAATGGATTGAAATACTGATATTTACCTCACACCTTGGGAAGAAGCCTTTTAAATATACAGTTACTGACATGATTCAAATGATCAGCTAAGCCCCAGTTACATTCCTGTGAGCAAAATGCAAGTCTTGGGCTTTTGTTTCCCTCTTTTTTCCCTTCATATTTGAAAGGTGGAGACTGAAAGCTTCCAGCTTTGACTAATGCATAGTTGCCGATTATACTAGACGAACTATATAGTTCATTCTAATTCTAGTTAACAAATCATGCTTTAAACCTGATTTGTTTCAAGTAACATTGACTAGCAAAAACCAGGCTTTCCCTAGTCTGGGTATAACACAGAAGCATTTCTTTTGCTCTAAAGTAGCCCATAAAAATTTTATCCTCTTCTTTTATGAGGAGAGAGAGGCGTGTGAGAGACCAAAGTTCCCACCACAGTGCCTTATGTCCAATCACACAAACCAGATGCTCTTTTGAACCATGTCAGAGTCACTTGTAGGAGTGTTTGCAGTTGAGGTATTTTCTGAGTATATTCCATTCTGAAACTACTGAGAATTACTTTCCATTCTAGCAGTTTCTATTACCAGCCATAACAACTGAATGCTTCTAAGTACCTTTAGCAGTTTACAGTGTCAGGGACTGAGGCAAGAATGCCATTCTCCCATAAATCTGGGCAGTTTTAGAACAAAACGTGAGAGCCTTGCTCTGATTAAAAGATTTAAAAAACTATAATTGCCAATCATTTTTCTAAAAGTGTGTGACTGCTGCTTAGTGATTCTGATAATAATTCAGCAAAGCAAAGAAAGAGAAAAACCACATTTTCATTTAAAACAAAGCATGTAGGAAGCACAAGCAACTTGTTTTAATGCAAAATTTGTTCCCAGAAGCTCTATTTTGCATTAAAACAAGCTGCATGCTCCATTTGCCCCGTGTTTTGAAAGAAAATGTTTTTTCCCAGCACAATTGTCCATTGCCAAAGGTCAGCAGAAATTCAGTGGCATAATGACAGCAATCTGCTATTGGCAGGGATGGCAGAGGAAGAAGACAAAGACTCCAGCAGCTTGCCTTACCCATCTCTGCATTAAAACACACCAATCTCTTCACATGTGTATTTCTGTCAAGCTCAGTTTCCTTAAGCTTTCCTGAATTTAGTCTTGTTAGTTTCAGCCCAGTCTTCCCATCCGTCACAGTGTGCCAATTGTGTTTATACCTGACAGATACCTGTTCCTCTAGCTCAGGGCTAGCTAGAAAGTAACTCATCATCTATTGGTGGATGAGTGTGGTTTACAGTCAAGGGGTTCAGACTCCCAAATGTCTGAGATTCTCCCCCTTCATTAGGTTGCTGAAAAAGAATACTTGTGCAGAAACAGGGAGTGTTTTTTGTGTGAAAGGACTTGGAGCTTAGTTTTAGTACAGATGACAAATCCCTGAATGAGGTATATGCTCAAAGGCAGTCTGCTCTTTAATTGATAGCATTGGCTATCCATTTGAGCCATTATTTTGTACCTGGTTCTAATTTTTTTAAAAAGTGTAGATCCTGACATCTGCCTACTCCTGCTATAAGCTTGTTGCAATTTTTTGACAGTTTTAAAATGTATTTTTCTACATTGTGATTGTACTTGGAAGCCAATACATTCATCAATGGAGATTGTGGCAATGAATACATTATGCTACTCTGTATGAGTTACTCAAAGTGAGAAAAGCCTGTAACTAGATTTAGTGAGTAGTGCTGATAAGCAATGAGAGAAAACAGTCAATTTTACCACTAGGTGGTATCTCTGCTTATGAAAGTATTAGTACAGTTCACAGTTTCTAGAATGAAGGCTAGCTTTCAGATTAACATTCATAAAGCTACTATGAGAAGCCACCTGGGTTTCTTGCTGAAAAGAAAATGCTAGAATCTATTAACTCAGTTCTTGGAAAACCTAAAAGCACCGATAAAAATAACATATCCAGAAAGCATAAGCTCATTTCAACAAGAACCTCAAAATAGAACCATGTAAAAACTATCTGACATAACAAATGGAAACACCTTTGCCAAATTCTTAGGATATATTTTGCTTCTAGGGTGGCTCATAGCACTTTTGTATGGCAGGACACTTTTGGCTCCACCATACAATGCCCAAATATCACAAAAAGGCCCCCAATTTTGAAAAGATGCCAGAGGCAAAGCTAAAAGTTACACAAAAACATACTGTATTCCATCCCCTCTCCTCATCCTTGTAACACACAGTAACAAAAGGAATGATATATCAATTCACTATTCCACATCAGCAGTGTCTAGTACTTTCCCAAGAGTGTATTTACAAATTACTGTAAACCAAAAGTGCATTCACAGATTGCTGTGCTAATTATCTGGGTGGCTCTGTGACTACCACCCAGCTAGAAGATTGTTGTCTATTCTCCAAAACCAAAGAAGCTACTTGCCCCATTTTTTAAACTCAGCTCTGTGCCCCTCTCGATGAGACAAAAGGAAAAATGGAGGGTAGAGAGGTGATGGCAGAGGAGGGGCTTAGGGACAGTAGGAAGCCTCCTTGTCGTCATCTGACCTGCTGCACTGGTCTGTGTGTGTGTGGGGTGGAGGGGTGCAGTCTAGTTATAGAGCAATGATCTGGGTATTTCATTTAAAAGGCTCAAGTGTTCAGCTGAATCTAAATCTAGAGCGCTCGCCTCAATATAAATCATGTTCACTTTATTTTTTGTATTTGAAATATGTGCATTTGAAATCTGTGCATAAAAGAATCACATGTGCATACACAAAACATGATCATCATCATCATCATCATCATCATCATCATGGACGTTCATTGGGAAGGAAAGCTTAAAAGGAGAGGACCCACAAAGCTTATGTCCAGTCCAAGTGTGCAAACAGAGCATATTGGTATGAAAATGCATTGAAAGTGTCATGCAAAATGAATCACTATTTTACTTGCACCATATAAATAAAGTGCAGTGATTTTGCAGCACTCATAGTAAGATTGTTCTGTTGGTAACGTGTCAGGAAACATTTCCAAACAAGTTGTCAACTGTGATATAACCACATTTTCAAGTTATAATACTTTTCATCTACATAAACTAGAAATTCACAACTGTTTCACTTTAATTAACATTCAAAGCAGTTGTGAATTTATATTTACTACACAGATGGCCAAATATAAATGCCAGTAGAAATTCAGCTGAACCTCATTTAAACCACGGTTTCACTGCTCATTTGAACTGGTAAACTAGGCTATTGATGTACCATAACTACTGCAGTGAAGATTAGTGAGGGCAAATAAAAGTGTTTATGGGGAAAGGTTTTTTTTTTAAAGACGACATTATGTATTGAAGCACCATATAATAAAAGTGCATATGTCTATGTATAGTTTATACACTGTCAATAGCAAGATCTGTGGTTCTACTGCCAATTTTATTGAGAAAGTTTCCTTTGGGGGTCCATTTCTCTAAATGAGACAGAGAGATATACAGTGAATGAAGGCCAATTAGTGGCATCTACTCATGGAAGGTGCCTTTGTTCAATTTTCAGGGTTTCCCCTTTCCCTTCAGTCCCTTGGCCTAACCCAGGGTCCCTCAACCTTCTCTGTAGCATTTGGCGGAGGGGGTACTGCTACAGAGCATGGAGACCTCTGTTTCTGCTAGTCCCATTAAATCTCAAACACTGGGTCTGGGAAGGCTTCACTCCCCTCACAAAGGAATGCTTTTTAAAAATACCAAAATGACTTTACATAAAATTGTTAAAGGATTAAACTATCAAATGTCATGGCCAAGTATTTTTAACTTTAGCTATTGATAGGGTTACTGTTCTCAATGTTATTTTATGTGAAAATAAAACACTTACCTTTCTATATTGACAGGTTTGTCAAATTTAAATAAGATATAATCCCCAGCAATTGGTGTAACTGCCCAAAAAAAGTCTTCACCCATGTAGGCTTTTTCAAGAGCATGACCTTGATAGACCTTTAAAGTTGTAGAAACTTCTGCAGGTGGATTCACATGAATTTTATGCAACAATGGTTTCAGGAAGTCTTTATCCTAAATGAAGATAAGATACTCTGTTAAGCTGGAAAAAAACATAAAACAAAGCAGAGGGACAGCTGCACATGAGATATGGTTCCCAGGGCATTTCAGGAAAACATTAAACAAACCTCGATGAAAGCAGCATAGGAAAATGTTTCAACACAGGCTTTGCTTAGATGATCTGCACTGAAAGTCTCCCTAAGCCAGCTTTCCATCCCGAAGGATTTAACATTTTTTTTAAACATATTGGGAACTGGGTCTACTGTGCAGCTGCTCTTTATTTGTTCTTGGATTTTCTCACAGCTGTTATCCTCTACACTGATAATCTGACCATAGACATTGATTTATTGTTTCCTTGGTAAGTGTTTATCTTGCTATAAAATTCTGAGTCACCTGATATATGTAACATCCATTTCTTCCACATGCTATAGCAGGTGTTGCTTTGATTAAACCAGTTACAAACCTGCCTTTCTTTCTTTGTTTTTACAATTAACAGTTTTTATAAGAGATGAAAAGAACAAGATCTGTCTCCAGTTATGTAGTGAGTCCCTATATTGGCCTTTACTTTATTACATTGGTTTGCTGATGAGAATGTATAATCTGTCATTAAAAACTATGATGTGAGAAGCTGTCCAGAAAGACAGCATCATCCTGTAGATCTCACTCCCACTTTCCACTACTTGGGAACCTTTTAACTGAAGATGCTAAAGTAGGCTTCCTCAGCTGGTGCCCGTCCCTCCCAAAATTTCTGACCACTGGCAAGTCTCATTAGGGCACATGGTTTCCATGCAGAAAGTTCTAGAGCTGATCCCTGGCATCTCTGGACAGGGCTGTAAAAATTCCTGCCTGGAACCCTGGGAAGCCATTGCTGCCACTCTGTCAACAATAATGGGCTATAGAATCCCGCTCAGAATAAAGTTAAGTTCAAGAAAAATCCAAAAGCCAGTGTGGTGGAGTGTTGAACTGGGGCTCTGAACCTCTGGGTTCTAGTCCCAGTTGGCCCCAAAGTTTACCAGGTAAATTTGGGTTAGTCACTGTTTCTTAGCCTAACCCACCTAAAGGTTTGCTGTTAGAATAAAATGGAGAACTAGAGGAATGTTTAAGCTGCCTTGAGATCCTTGCAAAGAATTTAAAAAGGCACAATATAAATATAATAAATATAACAACAACAACTAAAAATCAGGAGGACACCAGTTAAGCTAAAAGCTGCCCTAGAGGAGCAGTGCTAGGTCTGAAGCTGTACCTCCATGGATAGTAATCAGAAAGCAAGTGTGAAGCAATAAAGAATAAAATCTATTAATACCATATGCCTAGCGGTATAAAAGGCTGATCACACAGCAGCAGCATGCACTAAATATAATTGATTGGATCCAGATTTTCTCCACTACTTCCTTTCTACAACCTTCTCCACAACAGTTCCCTGGAAATACTGCACAACAACTCAAGAGACTAAGCTGAATGGGGCGCACTGTGGTACCCACCACATCTGGAACCTTGCATACAGTTCTGGGAACCTCACCAAATGCTGAACAAATATGCAGGCAAACATGTGGTTTAGCACTGAGCTATGCATCCCACCTCAAACCCCTTCCTTGATATAAAGAACCTATAAACACTGAAGGACAGATCTTTACAAATGGATCTGCAATTTCTCACTACAGAGTAACTGGCAATGTAAAGCTCAGTATTAAAGAAACTGAATCTATTACTTGAAGAAATATCGATTAAAAACTGCTCAGTTCTCCATAGAATTTGGTGGAGCCAGAATGCCTGTAGAAAAAAGCAGAAATGGACCCAGGCAGTGTTCAGCTATGCAGCATCGTTTAATCTCTTCATGGGGAAAACTACTAATGAACAGTTTGACAAAGCTGACAGTGTGCCAGATCCTAAGACTTCAAAAGAACTTTGCAGTTTAAAATACTTCACTGTTGACTGATATATACATGATTAAAAATTGATCTTGTGAGGAAAGAAAGAAAAAAAAAAAACAATTCCCAAGTACTCACAGTGAGTTTTTGAATTTTTCCAGCCAAAGAAGAGTGTAGGCCCACATGCTGGAAAAGTGAAGGTCTGAAGCGTATTCTGAGATTTGATTTCTGTCGATCACAATGTTTCTTAAAAGGAAAAACAATGAAGAAATCACTTTTAGTAACACAAAACATTCATGATGCATAACAAAGCCAAACCATTTACTGCAGTTTTATCTGCAGGTGGAGTCTCCTAGTATTGCCAATATGGCTCTTCCATTGTAAGCTAAAAGCAGAAACCAACTGTTCACATTTCAGGGGATCCAGCTCATTTTTAGTATATACTTCTGACTGCGGTCCATCTAAGCAATGGCTTTTATATAGCCGTTCTGGCCCTTCCCCCTTTTCCACCCCTTCACAGCCTCCATACATTCCTTCCATTGCCATTTTGTAGCAAGTGCTTCTCAGCAACATTTGAACACCCTGTTTATATATGCATGTTCATTTGGGCTTTGTATGTGTGCTTAATTTTTTCCCAACGGGCACAAAGTCAAACCTTTACTTCCAAATAAATGTGGTTATCATGGCTATAAATATTGTCTTTTCTCTGGAAAAGAACTTGGAAACTTTTCAGCTTGCTTTTTTTGTTGAAAAAAGATACACTAAAACTGTTCCTTTCAGCATGATTACATACAACAGAGGCAAATAACATAGACAGCACTTGACAGAAATACTAAACACTCAAACAAAACTTACTGCATCTTTTTCAGGGTTGCAAACTTTCACCCAAAGAATGTGGTCTAAGAGCCAGTCAATAGGCTTCTCTTTATAAAACATAAATATGAACTCCACTATGAGTGTAATATCTGGAGACTGGAACATTTTACCTGTAAATAATACAAAGTTATATTAACAATTATCCAGCATTTAATAAGCATACATACAGCCTACCAATTCAGTTAGTGTGAATAAAATGGTATTCACAAAAAATTCTGTAAAAGCAGGTTTCATGTGTGTGGATGCATTAAACTCCCCATTAAAAAGATTTTGAGGCACGTACTTTTTATATAATGTTGCCAAAAACATAAAAGTTAGCATACAAAGAATGGGTGGTGGTTGAGAGATAAGGTTGTTGAAGCAGAGGGACAAGAAATTGTAGACCTTAAAGAAAGTTAGAGCAAAGACTTTTGCTTGCCTTTTCAACATATAGTAACAACCACTGACCATGACTGGGTTCAGACAACATGCTTAAGGATTGAATATGGCTTGAGTGTGCATTGTCATTGAACTATGGGTTGTTGTTAAAGCATGGGTTATAGTGTTGTCTGAACCTGACCAAAATAAAAAACCATGGCTTGTTAAGCATGATACATCTATGAAGAGAATCCAGGGTTTGTTGTTGGATTCTCTTCATGGATGTGTCATGTTTAACAAGCCATTGTTTGTTAGCACAGAGGAGTTCAGACATGATAAATGACATTTCTGCAACAATCCACAGTAAACCAATACTCATCTCCTCATTGTAGGTTATATTGTCTGAAGTATGTCCATGTGTCCTAACATCCAGAATAATTTTAACCCCCTCTTTAAACATGTCATTTCTTTCACTCCACTGTTTCTGTGGCATAGTTCCATGAAAGCAAAGGCATGGATCTGTTTCCCTTCAATCAAATGATGAAGTCAGGCACCTCCATGCTCACAGAAGGGATCTGACTCAGGATGCTTGATTATAATGCCACTAAAAAGGATGAAGAAAGAACAAGTAAATGAAGACTGATTCTATCCTCGAAGATATTAATGGAGAGGTATTACATGAGGAAATTCTGAACCCCTGATTTTGATAGATGCAAGAAAGAAATATTAAACAATCCCTCAAGGAAGGGCCTTACTTTTCATTTAGCTTTGCATTCACATGACATAGTTTAATGATTGAAGCATATACATGTCATGTGGTTAAGGCGGAGAAATATGGCAACCATGACTATGATATTATCCTATTTTTCAGAAGTTGGATTCTCCCAGAACCAGTTACATATAACATGACATGGGGAATTTCACTAGAAACATTACAATCCTATTACATTCCCATTATTTGGAAATGTATGTTGAGACTTTTTTGTGGATTATCTGAACTTAAATTGAAAGTTGTTCCGCCTCACAACTCTTCTTCCAAGCTACTAAATGGGATTTTCCCCCTTACCAATGAATCCCAGCTGAGAAAATTCTAGAATCATCCAGTCTTCAGATGACAACTGAAGTGCAAAATTTTTTATTGTGCTGAAGTAATTCTGCTTGACAACGATGTCATCCTCAAGCTAAGAGAACCAAACAACAAGAACAGCAAAACAAAAATGAAATGAAATTGTGGGAATGACAAATAACATTTCAATCTCACACACACACATTTAAACCTACCCATCTTTGCCTGGTGCATAGTCCTTGAAAAATCCTATATTCATTTGAACACAATGGCATGTCCTTCTGAGAAACTTCACATAGGTTTAAATGAAATTAATTGAAAAAGCAAAACACTATCTACATCCATTGAACAGTGGTCTCAGGGAAGGATCCAGTAACATCCATACAGCAGAACTATTGACATTGTGCTAGCATAAATCAATGCTTATACACTATCAAAAGCTTTTGCTAGCGCATAAGGTCTTTGCATTAGCATGAACTATTGACACTGCATTTTTTTTGTAAAAACAGAGCCAAATGAGGGACTGCAAGAAGTTGCTGCAGTCTCATACTTTTAGATTAGAAATTCTGGATGATTCTGGGATCAAGGGCACAGATCAACATGTGATAAATGGTTGCTAGCACGGTTGTTCAGCTAGCAACTTGCCCAAAAAGCTTCATGCAAGGCAGAACTTGGATCTGAGCCACAAACAACTATTTGCCTCCACATAGAATGACAAAAGATTCATTTCCCAGAAAAAAGAACTAAGTAGTGCTGCTCAACAAATTACACATGTACACAAGGGTGTGGGGGGTGGACAGAACCTCTTCAAAAAAACTAAGAGCCCATACAGAAACACACAGAAAAACCAGGCGACTCTATTCAACCTATACAAACAGGCAGGTAGCACCCTCCCTCAAACACATAATTGCAAAACACAAACTTGGAATTGGGAATGAAATGAATGGGAGGACATGTTTTACAACTGGAGAACAGTTTGGCAGATATGCCCTTGTGCATGAGATATTGCACAGACTGTGCATTTGTTTTGCAAGCAAAATAAATTCTTATACACCCTATGTTAACACACACACACAAATAAAAACTCCAGTCAGCAACCCCTCTAATCTCAGGCAACCTCCACCCCATGCACACAAATACTCTCCAGGAAACCACACTCACACATACACCAACCCTCACCAACCAAGGCAACAAACAAAACACACAGGCTCATCTTGGACACTCTGTTGGAGACCTCAGTTTCAGAAACTATCATCAGAATGATGGTATTTTTTTGTATAGGATTGTTTATTGCAAAGAAGTAAAATTATATGAGGATGCTATCTGGAGTCTGTGATCTTCCCAAATGCTAAATGCAAGTGAGAACAATATGTGAACTACAGGACTGCACCTGCCCTCCAAGGCTCTTCCTCCCAGCTCACAATTCCATCTTTTATGGTCAGAGAGCATAGGCAAGACATTGCAGGAGCATTGCATAAACATTAAAATGCTCTGAGCATGTTCATGAGTAGACCTCAAGAATTAGATCCCTTGAGTAGTTTGAAATACTATTCTTGTCTACGTCTAAACATCCTTCAGGAATCAGGAGCACCTCACAGACCTTTATGCGCTCCTTCCCCAAATTTCCCTTCTGATAACAACTAAGCCCTGTGAAATCTCATCTAAAGACCTGACCAAAAATGCAAGTTTTCCACCAGACTGTAGGGTTGAAGCCCGTTAGAAAACTACTCAGCAGCTCCAAAGTTATTACAAGAGATTGCCTTTAATCCTACTGAAACAAGAAATGCCACAGCTGCTTGGTTTTACAGAAGCAAATTAGTTTACTGAATCAGTGTCAGCTACTTGGAGTGTATGATTCTAAGCATGTGCATCTCTCTCTTTTTAACTGTAACCTTATTGCAGCCATATGTGACAAGCTCAACCATATTTGCAAAGCAGGGCCCTGGCAATTATAGATGTTTCTGGAGATAGAAACAGCGATTTGCCCAGGCAGACAGAAGTCTGGAAGGGAGCTTGAGAATATTTTTTAAATAAAACTATTTAAATAATGCATGCTAATATTTTAAATTAAATTTTTAAATGGAGACGTTATCTACACAATCAACTTGCTCAATTAGTTTCCTTTATTCCTACAAAATCTGTATTTACTGTTATTTAAACTATATAAATATTTACTGTTTGCTTTACATCCCAAAAAGGATCCTCAAGCTAAGATGCAAAGAGGAATATATAAAATAAAATATTGCACAGAACACATACATTGATAAATCATGAACAGAAGAAAAATCATTTAACAGCATAATTACATTTAATATCAAAACATCAGACAGAACAAGGTTTTAATAGTTAATATTAACTAAGCAGAAACCCATCAACTGAGGCAGAGCTGGCTCTCATCAAAATAATAAGACCTCAAACTCCAGATGATGTTTAAGGGCAAGCAATCTTTAAATACCCTGCAAAGAACAAACAGTGTATTTTTCAGGCATGAGAGCTACTGCACTGTGGCTTACTCCTCTGCATAATTGTATAGAATTGAGCTCTGTTTTATGTGTTTCGTGGGAAAATGACCAAATTGGCAGGAACAACTTATCTTCTTATCCACTTTGCTTTCTCTTTCCTTGACGCCACCCTGAGTCTTGCTTGTTACTAGAATATAGTCACCAAGATCCTTTCCAAACTGGAACTCAGCTCCAAGTCCAAAAAAGGTTAACACTCATCACAGAGTACATAATGAGGAACAGTATGTCAAAGAGGACTGGAACTATTGCAAAACAGTATCCAATCAATCTCATACTGGTCAAAAGTCCCAGAGGAATATCATGATTAATGGCATCATTGCCACTATGGCCCAGAGTCAAGAGGATCTGGTGTTAATTCATCCACCAAGGTAACCAAAACCAGGTCTGAACCTGATTTTAATCATCCAGATATGCATCACCCTCAGTTGGCTTTATTTATTTATACCACAGTGCATAACACTAGCTATATTATGCCGAAATTGCAATTGACCAAAGCAGCTGCATCCATGTCATGTGTATTATCATGTGTTCTTAGGCATATCTTGGATATTAGTTTTTACAATTCAAAACATAAAGACCATTTACCTGAATGTAGTAAACACCCTTTTTCTGTGCATACATCATCAGAAAACAATAATCCAGATTTTGCTTTGTCCGCCATCTGAAATTAAATAGAAGTAGATAGCATTTTAGACAAAGCCTTGCACAGACACTGAAGACATACTTAGAGAAGGATAGGTTATCCAAGAAGAATTAATGGAAGGCAGAGGACTGAACTGCCTTTCCACTCACCCACCCTGTCATGAGTTAGGTGTCCCCTCCCAAGCAAGACAGATTCTCCAGCACTTCTTGTAAGTGTCTTTATTCTGCACAGAAGGCTCTAAGCATTCACAAGCCTCTGAGCATACACAAAGAGATCCTGAACCTTCTCTGCCCCCCAATACCCAAAATTTTGCTTATGAACCCTCTGGGGCCTGTCTCTGGAAGGAGGGGTGCTGTGGAAATGGGCATGCTTGTGTTCCACACTCTAAGCCCCTAATTGGGCCAGCCTGCAGCTGTGCTGGCAGTCCCTCGGATTCATGTCTTCAGGAGGCTGGTGTTCTCCATCCAAGAGACTAGCCATTTCCAAATCCCCTTCCTCCTGTCTTTCTTCTGCTTAATTCCCACAGGCAGGGAGACTGGGCCCCATGGGTGTCCTTGAGCTACTTTCATCCAGAGCAGGCTCAGACTGGTACTGAGAGATCGAGTCTGCAGGCGCAGGCCTGTCTGTTAAAACAACAATTCCGTTATCAGAGTTTGAGCTCTGAGCTTCGTCTCGTTCAGCCAACTCCACATCATCCTCAGAGTCTGAGCTATCAGTCCCACCAAAACAGGCCGCTTCTCGTGCGCGCCTGGGAATTTTGCCAGAGTGTGTGCTCATGACACACTTCCACAAACATACAGGTGAGTGATAACAGCAGAAGCAGAAGTTTCCCAAGGATCTTCCTGTCAGTAGCTCACTAGCCATTCATTTTGGGGAGACCAAAGAGGGCATCTCTGGCTACCCATAATCCTCCAGTGCAACCAATTCTACCCAATCATCAAAATGCAGTGTGCTCTGTCCTCTGTAGCCAGAACTATTCTCCAGCAACATGACTTTCCACATGCAATCCTTATCAAGGGGGAAAGCAGGGATCATTCCAACTATTTTGGGCCTCTAACACTGGTAGACGCCAAAACCAAATGTGAAATGGGGAATCCATTAACAGGAAGTCTTGTGGTTTAAATAATATCAATAACTTTCCCCATCTCCTTTCTGTTGAATTTGGGGCAGGAAGGTGTATATCCTTTCCCCGGTGCATTATTTATTTATCTCCCACCATTTTTCTTGTACAGAATTCAAAGCAATTGAAATGATTCTCTTTCTGCTGCTCTCAATCTTATACCCACAATGACCCTATGAAGTACGTTGGCCTGAGAGTGTGGGGCTGGCCCAAAGTCACCCTGTTGGCTCCATGGATAAGCAGGGACTAGAAGCCAGATCACCTGAGTCTCAGTCTCATGCTCTTGACCTCTATACCACATTCAGAAATATGGTATTCAAGTTAACAGCTCACAGGATATTTTTACTGTGACCTAATATAATGAACAAGGACACCCCCACCCAGAGAATTCTTACCGGACCCTTTCCTTTGAGTCTCCAAACGTTTCTTTTAGGTTTGTCAAGTCAGGATAGTAGGATGCAGGTGGAGCTATTACTTCCACTAATCCAGAACTGATTTCTGTAGAAAACCTATAAACGGAAAGGTTCACTTGGTTATTTATTCCAAGAAATTTTATATTTCGGACATTCAACATAGTGAAATAGATTGAATGTTGGACCTGGGTTCAAATTTCCATTTAGCCTTGAAGACCACTGAGTGGTACTGGGCAAGCTAAATATCTTTAACTACGATATGAACACACACATTAAGCTTTAGGCAGTATCCATCGCTGTCCCAATATTAGCACCAGTTGATGTTACCCTATCATAAACCAATACCAGAGCCAGGACCATCCCATGAAATTGATTGGAGGGAGATTCAGGAAAGAAGAAAGCAAACACTTCTTCACACCGTGCATAGTTGGCATTCACTGTCAAAGTTATGGCTACCAGTTTAGATGACATTAAAAAGGGTTTAGACACACTCATGGAGGAGAAGGCTGTATGCTGCCTGTGGGACCAGAGGCAGTTGCTGGGAAACTTGAACAGGAGGGAATTGTTGTACTCATGTCCTCCTTGAGGGATCATGCAGGCAGTTGGCATGCTGCTCTGAGAACAGAATGGCAGACAAGTTGGACTATTCGTCTGATCCATCTTGGCTTTTTCATGTTCTTGTGAAATGTCATTGGTGCTTGCTTTGCAAAGGGAAGGAGGAGTGATTTACTGTTAAATTTTGGCAGTGCAGTTTCTCAGCAAATCACCACTGTTTCCCTTTGCCTAGCAGGTGCTAATGACATTTCACTTTTGTTGGTTTATGCACAGCATCATAAGTCTAGTCCTCTGGCAGTTATGGACACTGCCCAATACATATCAGCTGGGATTCTTTAAAAGCCTGTGAGGTGGATTCTGTGTGAATTTAGTTCCCCATATTCCTTGCAAGTCCAGTCCCAAGAGTCATTAGTACAGGACTGACAATGCAAAACTGGCTACAACCAACAGCAAAGATCACCCAAGGACTCTAATCAAGCAGAAATACATGATACATGCCTAAACCTGGCTATAATTCTCTTGCCATCATCTATTATATAAAGCCACTGTATGCATTAAGATCTTAAGTAGTTGGGCTTAATAAGTCCCTATGCTTCGGCACTAACAGAGTGGTTTCAGCAAGGGAAAATCCATTTATTTTATTCCAACATAATCCATTTAGGTCCATCTGAACCTTTTAATCCCATTCGTCATTTTACTAGCTAATCTATTTAATTGCTCTATGCAATTGTCCATAACATACAACCCATGCATCTATCCCAAGTTATTAGTACTGAACTCTAAAAAGTACAAGGAACACCAAGTAATAAAAATATTTCAACAATGGATGTAGAATACACTTACTCTTTTTCTAGGCTTGCTACAACCCCATTCACATAGTCAAGATCTGTCTAGAAAAAACATAATTCAATTTTTAAACAACATTGTAAAATCTAGTATAGCTAGCCAGGTATAGGTGATTGCATAATTTTACAGTCACTTTTCATACTTAATAAGAACACCATCTTTCAATTCAAGTTCAGCATGATAAGCACACAAAACATGTTAATTAAAACACAGAATGCAAAGAAATTAAATTTCACTCACAGAAGTGGGCCAGCACAATTTTCACTTCACCAAATTGTCTTTATAAATATAACATATTTACTTTGTTAAGCAAACACCAGTGCTAATTAAAAAAAATACGGTATCAAACACCCATGCTTTGCAACAATTGTGACATATCTTATGTTTAAAACACTGCTTTCTGTGACAAATATCAAGCAGAAAAAACGGGAAAATGCAGGTCTCTGCTTCCCTATGTGCTGTTGAGAAAAGCAGCACATTAAACACATCTCCACCATTCTTTACTGACAACAGGTATATACTTTGGTTATCTGTAACTGAATACAAAGAAGTATCCTGAGAAGAGGGCCTTTCTTAAGTGTGATCTATAAAGCTTTTGCCCACTTTTAAAAAAGTAAATGACCTGGGCAAGAGCTTTCTTTCAGCATCTGTGTGTATGTGTGTGTGTGGGGGGGTGTTTTCTACAATGCTGCTTCAACTTTCACTACAGAAGCAGCAGTGGTAGGAAATTCCTGTAAGGAAAATGCAGCACAATGGGACACTCACCTATGTATATTTTGTGCGGGGTATGCACTATCCTGTGATCTTACTCTAAAAAAAAAAATGCTTTGAGACCAGCTTCCCCCACCACCTCCATAGCTCCTTGGAACAAGAATGCTCATCTAGCCATTTAAAAAGCAGCAGATAGTAAACAGTAGTTCCTTCTTTGCACAGAAGCACCCCAGGCTTTGCATTACCCTCTTTCTAGCATAAAGGAAACACAAGTTTGATTTTTTCATCCCAAATCAGGTCAGAGTACTATGTAGCTAGCAGCTTCTGTAGCACAGTTATCTCCTGCCTCAATTGATAACACATAAACTGTATAGCAGAGAGCTAGAGAAATTCAAACCAAAATCTGCAAAATTTACCAAGTTATTAAAGAGGAAATGGTTTCACGAAATGGCCCTTTCCACAAATGTGTTTCACAGAAATCATTTCACCGCAGAGCATTTACTTGGGAGTAAGTCCCAACAACCTCAAATTTAGTCTGCCAAACATTTATGAATGAAAACAATCTGTTCCAATGCAAGGTGAAGAGTTCTGAAGTCATTGCTCCTATTTCAAATAATCTCTAGTAATAACATTACGCTTCACATTAGGAATTTCCAAATCTATACTGCAGTTGGAACATACTTGGACCAACTAAAAAAGCATGCAGGTGTCCTCCAAGAAGATATCTGATCCTGTTAACAGTGATGATTTATTGTTCATACAGACATAGGTGTTCTAAAGATGTAAACCATAATGCAATGTAATACAATTTGAAAAGAAGCTTTGCCAAGCAAGTGAATCATACACCATAAAAAACCAGTTTAGCTAAAATATTGTCCACAAATTAAATCAAACCCAATTCAATTGTTTGGTCTGAAAAGAATGAGCTTTAACAGCTGCACAGTTAGGAATTAAAGTATTTCTTCCAAGCGACTATCATCATCATCATCATCATCATCATCATCATCACATTTCTATATTGTCTATAGCTGAAGCTCTCTTGACGGTTCACAGCATTTTATTTATTTAAGGCTTTTCTATACCATCAATTATTCAAAAGAATCTCAAAATGGTTTAAAGAAGTTTAAGATGTACAGAGAGATTTAAGTCACCCATCTAGATTTCAGCCAGGCCTGACCCAACTTAGTCTTCAAGTTTAGTCTACAAAAGTAGACCTAATATCCATTTGAAAATGGTGACTACTGCCACCCAATCATATATTCTGAGTGTTGAAAGGCCCTCAGTCTATTGAATGAGTGCCTATCCTTCAGGAGTATCAGTCTTTTACAACAGGTTGTGAAGAATCCATTTATGCTATTTGTTAATTTTAATGAGACAGGTAAATTATTAAACAAGCATATACATCAACAGATATTCATGGGAATTTAAGCATAAAATTTATCTGTGTTACTAGCCTCTCTCCAAAAAGAGGCAACTATTGCACATTGCCAAAAATGTAAAAGAAATATTTGGTGTATCGTACCACTATCAATTAGCTTAATTAGACAGTCCCATATAAAAGAGACATGTCAATATTTTATTTATTAGATGCATATCCTACCTTTTTCTTTTTTCTTTTAAAGAACTCAAAGTGGCTTACATCATTCTCCTCCTCCAGCTCTCAATCTTACCCACACAACAACAACCCTGTGAAGTAGACCAGGCTGAGAGTCTGTGACTGGCCCAAATGGTCAAGCGGGGACTAGAACAGATCAGCTGAGTACCAGACCTGCACTCTTAACCACTGCACCACACTGGCTTTCAATAGACATGAAACAGAATTTTTTGCTGAGTAAGACACAGCCTAAGATCAACAAATGCAAAAGATAGATGCCAAAGCAGAGTTCCACTGCTCAGAAGGTAACCTATGATTCCCTCACACCTCTCTTCTGAACTGATATTCTTTGGAAGAGCTGGGCTCCGGCTAGCCCTGCCTATAGCCAGTTTATTTTTTGAAAGGCGAAAAACAACCACAGGGCTTCTCTACATAGTGAACTGCCAGTGTTAATGTGTCTTCCATTCAGCAATACATACACTCGCACAGCAGGCTGATATGGGGTCCTCGGGAAGATAGGAAGAGATTGTTTTTTGACAGTTGAGCTGCATAAGAGCTCAGAAAGAAAGACAGACAGACAGAGTGATCCCTTCTAATTCGCGCTTCCAAAAATTATTTCAAGATGGTAACCATATGAACTTTGCTTCCTTCCAAAAGTGGTTTCATCCCAATTCATGTCACAAGAAAGACTTTTCTCCCAGACAACAAGTATATTAATCTGAATATTTTAAAAACCCTGTGATCTCTCTACCAAAACACTGTAAATTTGAGGAAAGGCATGTTCAAATTAGAAATGAACCCAGAATACTTGAAAATACTCTAATATGCCATCAAATAGAGACTGTATTATACATGGAGGACTAACATTTATAATCTCAACAAAAGCTCTCCTTCACATGCTGTTCGGAAGTAGACAGAATCGAATACAGGTTTGCATAACCTCCATTCTAATTCAGTTGCCACTCCAGGCTTAAAGCCAATACCAGCTTCCGTTATTAAACATGCAGTGTTTAAGACTAACCTTATATTTGCAGAGCTGGCTGCATCAGTAGGCAAACAGAGTACATTTTCTCCACATGGTAAAAACATTCCACAATACTCATGTTGTGCAGTTCAAGCCTTCTTACAAAGGAGCACATTTATACTCTTAATGAAGTTTGCTTAAGCAATCTCTTTCAAGCCACAGAGTTATGAATTTATAAGGTCCAAAAAAATCATTCTGCAGAGAACTGGCTGGCTTTCACGGTCCGTCTAAAATTTATCTGGCTGCCACTAAAGGCCTTTCTGCATGATCTGTCAATGGATGCCCAAACACGTTTAAGCCTTTCCACAAATCCTGTTCCAGAGTTAACAGCATAACAGACTTGCTGCTATTCTCCTGTTCTCCCTACTATATCTCGTTTTTAATTTTAATCTGCAGTGTGTAACTAGAAAAAAAAGTTACTGCCAAATCAAATCCCTATCCAGAAACAGATCACTCTTAAGATATGAATCCTAGGGACACTTACCTGGGAGTAAGACTCACTAACCTAAGCTGGATGGGATGGGCATTTTCCTTTCTCTGAATGTACCTGGTGTGATGTGCTCTAGCTGTCCCACTGCTTACTGTTGAACCTTCAAACCAAATATAAAATATATTTTGAAAGCTAATGCCAAATGTAGAATATGGAACACTCATTAACTGTGTTTCTACCTCAGTATAAGAGAATCCTTCCAGTCAGAAAGAGGAGGAAGTTAAAAACCTCAGCACAATCAGTGCAGATTTTATTTTAATGGAAAGATGTTACTACAGAAGGTTGAAAGAGTCTGACTACCAGATTTGCATGCAAGTCCATTTGAAGTAATCTGGAGTAACTGCAGAATAAATATAGGAACTTCTGAATATTCATTTAACACTTTGATACATCTGCAGAACCAAAGTATATGACTACTAGATGGACTCCTCTTATGCATTCCTACAGTTTGCACTCCAGAAATAATCCAGCTTTCTGGATACTCAAATGCCAATTGTTCTCCTTTGTCAAAATTTAGATCGCAAGGTCTTTTTTACTTGACTTACTTAAAAGCACCATGAAGATGGATTCTACTATTATTAAAATTACCAGACTCCAAAACTCTTGCTGACAAGGTGCAAAGTATGACATTGGGCTCAAGGATCTAATGCTAATTTAAGTGGAACTAAATCTTTCTCCAGGACTAACATCCAATCTATTCTTTCTGTATGGGGTCTAACGTCCACAATGCACAAGAGTAGAGCACAAATGGATGGTTCATCTATACTCTAGAGACTTCAAAAATGAATGCAAGAAGTCTTGGTGTCCCCCACATCTCAAAGGCTAGAGGAACAGCCTTGAACGCTGAATACATGCATGTTTGTATCAGACAGGGACTGGAGAATTGGGTTTCCCTCTAGAATTACCAGCAAGCCAGGACCTGTTTCCTGTACTCTGGATATACCACAAAGACTCCTATAGTTTAAACTTTGCTTTCTCTACAAATGCTTACAACAGATAACACTCAGCTCCCATACTGTACTTTCCTAGGGAAAATAATAGACTTCGCATATATTTGGGCTCAAGCCAAAGAACCACCCAGCCATCTATCAAAAAAGCAGAATACACTAAAATAAAATTCATGGATGTAAGTGAAATATTCAAATATGGGATGTTTCAAAATATGTATTATTCTACGTTCCGAGATTAAGCGCAGTGGATGGAGGCTAAAAGAAGATTTGATCCTACAAGGAGCTGTAGCAAGCCTGTTTGTGTTACAAGAGTAATTATTTTAAACTATCACATTGTATCAGGACAAGATTAAGAACGATACTGCACATGCGCAAAAGAAACACACGTGTGTGCGCATGTGCAGGTATATGTGTTTACTGCTAGGAAAGCTACACTGGAAACAACTGAAAAAATATAATGCAATTACCTCTCCTATGAAGACAATCATAACACAGTCCAGTTTCTCTTCTGGAGACAGCTTATCAATCAGTGAGTGAAGAGTTTCTGTTAGGTAAGATTTTACTTTTCTCTTTACAGTAGGAATTCCCATTACTATAGAAACTAAAAACAGAAAAAGAATAATTCATTTGGATTAGTGAAACAGGAAAATAATTAGTTTGTTATGCAATGTTTAGACACACTCATAATCTTTTGGGAAATTTAACTTCATTTAACATGGTAAGCCAATGTAATTTCAAAACTACAGGTGTAATGGAAATAGGATGAATTTGTTCAAAGGATTAGATCCAATGGGATCCTTTTACCAGTTGGAGCAACATCATTGGCAGTATATAGTAGCCAACCATTACTCAAATCTGTTCCAGGAGGGCCTCCTAACATGACCCAAGGATCTGGGCAACTGCATATAAGAGAAGATGTGTCTTCAAATACTGTGCACTCAAACCATTTCAGGCTTTAAAGGTCAATACCGACACTGAACTGGAAATGGACTGGAAGTTGATTAAGCACTGGTGCTCATGTCAGCCAGTCCCAGTTAATCACCTTGCAAACCTATTTTGAACTAACTAAATATTCTGAGCTGCTTCTTTAGGGTCTCCCCATGTTCAACACCTTTCTTTTTAGCAAGCATACTTGCGTGATGTGAACTAGCCAGAGACTTTACCCGGGGAGGAGTTAACTGACAAGAAAGGCAAACTCTTACAAGTGCAAGGTGTTTGCTCAGTGAGACACTGGTGCCCATACCATGGAAGGATCAGACAGACTCTTGGAATACAGAAGGGAGAGATACTATATGCAAGGACAGGGGAATTCACACCCCAAGGACAGGAATTGTGGCAATAAGGGCAAATGGTCCTCACCTGGGATCCATCACATGCTGTCACCCCATAAGCCATCTGACCGGGGTTGGGGGAATAAAAGTTGAGAGCCCAGCCTTGGGGTACCTCTTTAAGAAGTTCCTATCTTGCTGCCAGATCCTTTGCCAAAGAATGCTGTGCTACCCTGTGTCATTGGTATCTACGGCTGGTATAATCCGTGGAGTATTGGCTTCGGCTGAGCTTTGTTATTTTGTGTCCAAGCTGGCCAACAAGGCCTAGGGTCTTGGGGGGCTTTGGTTAGCTGTGAACTTTGTTCGGTTCTCCAAATCCCTCTTCCTCCCCTGCTCCACTTTTTGTGTATTCGTTGCCTTAGAGTTTTAGCTGTTTTAGTACCCTCCACTCCTATCTTTTAACCTTTTAATAAATCCCCTTTTCCCCAGTGTACTGCATCTAGTGTCTGGTCTGGAACTCAGGGACCAGGGATTTATGGGTGGAGATTAACGCTCAGTTAGCCACAGAGTGGAGAATCCTAGGAGGTGTCCACTACAACTTGTATTAAGACATATATCTCCAACTCCCCCCCCCAAATCCATAAAATACAACCTGCAGCGCATACTATGGTGTTTCAGTATAATAATCCATGCCCAAATTTCAACTCAGCTATACATGTCAATAACATAGCACTGGTCATGCCCCCATATTTATCTGATTTATTCCACCATCTAGTGAGGATACATTTAAAAATGAACATTGTGCCAACAACTAAATCAAGCACACATGTCTGTTGCATAATGAACTACTTTCCTTAAGCAATAGTTTTCAGGCACACATATAGCAAAGTACAATGCTTTAAACATGTGTCTTTCAAGTCTGACAACCCAGACATCTTTTAAAATCAAAGGAGAACAAAAACTATAAAGTGTAACATCTCACTGTAACAAATTAATCTGAAAAAACAAGCAAGCCAACAGGAGGTGGATTATGAAAACATCAGGCTCGGTAACAAGCAGACTAGAAAGCATTTCCAGTAAATTCACTAATGTTTCACAGACTAGAAAGCATTTCCAGTAAATTCACTAGTAAGCATTTCTCTGAGAGTGAGTTTCTAACTGAGTCCTATTCATCTGCTTTGCAGAACTGGTATTCAGTAACATCATTTTAAGTATGAAAGAATAAAAACACAATAGGAAAGGGCTCACAGAATTAAGATGAATATGGTATTTTATCTGAATTACAGGTACAATTTAAACACTTGCATTTCATGTTCTGTGAACCTTAGACAGCATGGAAATCTTAATCTACTAATTTATGAGCTTGTGAAAATTCCATGCATTGTTATTTTAAAAAATATTTTAAAATATTTTAAAAACCTCAAAAATTTAAGAAAATATATGTTATTTAAAATTAGTGGGTTTCATTACATTGTAGTATAAAAAGCATAGGATTTGCATGAGACAAAACAAAAAAGAAAAACACAAGAAGATGGCTGAATCAGATGAAGTGAAGCAGGGACCCTGATGCAGGTGTGAACACGTAAGTACTGCTGGTGGTGGCATCCTATTTATTTCATCCAGTCATGCTACTTCTAAGGGAGTTTTTGCTTGTTCTAATATGTCAGGAATAGTTGCACATTTTTTGGGAACAGGAAAAATACATAAATGTTGTGGCTGAGAATTAAATGGAGGGGAATTTTGCATATCTTAATTAACTAATCAGCTACTACAGGTATAGAAATTTCTCTTTCATTTGCTACACAGTTGTTGATGTATACAAAATTCTCCTTCATTAACTTACTAGCCACCCAATTTCCATCTATTTCTGTGAAATCATGCTGAGCCTTCAGCCACAGAATTTCACACAGTTTCATATAAATGTTGCCCATTTACCTCCTGTTCGTCCAAGGCCAACCTGCACAGAAGGTCGAAGGCTTCCTTCATTTTTCAACAAATGAGGCAAGTGGTAATATATATTTGGCACTTGAAGAGCTTTTCTGGTTGTTAGCTCCTTTAATAATTTTAACGTTTCATCTGAAAACAGTTAAAAAAAAACCTATGTAATTACATATCCATCCAACAGTGGATCCTACCCTAAGTGCAATATGAAGTAAGAGATTCATTCTTCAGATTTATGCAGCACAAAAGATAAAAACAGTAAAACTCTCTAATTAGATAGTCATCAAAAAATATAAAATAATGTTTCTTCTGAAAATGCAAGCAGCATCTTATTTGCAGATCAGTCACATATGAAGGAGATAAACAACAAATGACACCCACACCCAAACACAACCCTCCACACACACAGAGAGGGAGAGGCTGAGACTATTGTGGTTTGCGGCAGGAAGAGAGCTGCAGTGACAAAGTGCTGAAAAAAAATTACAAGGAGCCAAGAAAGTTAAAAATCTCTGCAAGTTCACTAACAGGGCAAGAGAGGCAGGGCAGTAAAAATTCTTTTTCAATTTCCAGTACAGTAAAGCTTAAAAAGAAGTCTTATCAGAGCTGTAATTAAAAATGAAAATGGAGGATTGTGTCCAATGTTATGCTAGCAGAAGTCTGCTAATACAATAGAGGTTTCCTGTGCCATTAAAATGCACATATAACAAAAAAAAACCCAAAACAATTTATGGTAATCATACAATAAAACAAATAACCTCAAACAAAATGGGGACAATAGGCCCACAGCAACTGTCATCAAATCAAACCAATCCAGAGGGATAGCCCCAGTACCAGATAAAATACAGTACAAACACTGAGAATAAAAAATTAGTATTATAATGTTTGGCAAATAAAAATGTTTTTACCTGGCACCAAAAACAATAAAGGACAGCATCCTATATCAGCTCAGTAGGCCCAATTCCCAGAAAATGCCCTCCTGAAACTGAAAACAGTTCCAAACAGGCTGGCACAAAGGACAGGCTGTGAAATTGACATCGAAAGGAATGGTGGAGAAGAGGGTACTGTGTAATAATTATTGTCTCAGGCTATGCATATACTTCTGAGGATGGGATGAGGGCTCTGATAAACAGAGATCTTATCATGAGAGGGGCAGGGGCTTGGGTTAGATACCTTTGCTCTATAGCTCCCTTGCCTACTTGATGCAAAGGGAGGTGTTTATGTATTATGTAGGTAGGATGGAAGATAGAAGACCAGAGAAATCATTGTTGGTTGTACACCAGTCTACACCAGAAATTATTTCAAATGTGTCTCTGAGAGTTATGTGGGGATTCTTTTTCACAGAAAACCTGATCTATGTCTTAATAACCCCCCCTCCCCAACCCACAGAAGGGACCCAGTCAAGATCAGGTACCTTGCACCTGATGCACATTTAAAGAAATGCCTCTTTTGTGCCATAGTTCTGCATTCCTGGAAGAAAAAATGTGGGTGCTTTGTAGAAAGTTGAAATCCAAGAGCTGTAAGATTTAAAAAAAACACTGTTGATTTTGGCAACATTACCAACAGTCAGAGAGGTGTATGTGTAGGCTTTCATTGTGTCCAGAATAGATGAAGTGGGTGGCCATGGGTCTACCGACTGCCCTGACCACTTTGTTTTGGATTGTGCTGAGAATGGCATGGAGAAAAGGCGATGGCAAGCACGGGGAGCAGCAGCCATCCTTCTCAGGGCCAACACAGTCCCTGGTTTCATATGCAGTTGTTGTTCCCATGCAGGCAACACCCTGAAATTTGGCTCGCATGGGGAGGAGCATATCTATCTGACTGAACAGCTATTAGACCTGTTCAATAAAGATTCTTTGCAAGTATATCTTTAACCAGTTGCTCCTCCTCCTGGCTTTTGCAATTGTAAATAGGCTCCATTTTGAATTTATTTATTTATTATTTAGATCTATATCCCACCTTTTTTAAAATAAAGCCATAAAAATGGCTTACATCATTTTCCTCCTCCTGCTCTCAAACTTATCCACACAGCAAAAGAAATTCCTTGTGGGATCATGATCTTCCTTAACTGGTCTTTAGCCAGGCATTATTCCCTGAAAGGGAAGATTTAGTTTCTACTTGCTTCTTTACATATAAAGAAATAACTCATTAATATTTTAATTTTATTTTTTCTGCTTGCAATTTGGTCACCCTGCAGTCTCTTAGCTGCAAAAATGAAATCAGTAATTAACTCACTCAAGGCAATGATAATTGGCAATTAAACATCAATTAAGGAATATGTTGTTGTTGTTAGTTGCAAAATTGCATCTGACCCATTGAGACCCCATGGACAACATTCCTCCAGGCCTTCCTGTCTTCCACCAACTCCTGGGAGTCCACTTAATCTCACAAAGGAACATGATAGACCCACAAATAAACAAAATGAAAATACCAGTGCAGACCTTGTTAGGAAGAAGCTTTTCAATAAAGGGACAGTAGTCCATCGAAGTCCCAAGAGCAATTTGCAGTCCATGCTGAACTGGATGACACTGGAGTTGTGTTTTATGACAGAGAACCATCACAGATCCAACATGGATTGCAAAAAATGTGTGAAGGACTACATAGGAGGGATTGCCTGCTGATGACATTATGCATGGCACTAATTTCATCCCTTGGATGTCTACAATTGTCAAAACTATCCCTTAAAAGTTTTTTAATTCCCCCTTCCCCATGAAGTTGATTAGAACAGAAGCAGCTTGTGATCTGGTTGATTTTACAACTTCACAAACATACACGAGTTTCAGAGGAACTGCAGTTAGGAAAACAGAGTGGCATTACTTTGTTGTACATCACAAGTAGCCTAGTATAGTCCAAGAGTTAGTTTCTCCCATTGCCCCACACTTTCTTGCCATAAAATCCAAAATCCTCTATTAAATCAAATAATATCTTGATGAAAACGAACAGTTGACTTCCATGTCATATTGGAAAAGGGAAGATTTGTTTCAGTATGTTTTACATGACTTTGCCAAGTTTAGGCAACAATAATAATCCTTTAAAGTACTCCAAACATAGCAACATAAAAAAAGGTCTGAATGTATGACATACCATTTCCCTCTGCCAAATATTCTTTACAAGGAAAGTAAATGAAATCTGTACAAATCCATGTAATAAGCACTTATTTTTAACCCTCTCCAAGCAAAACAAATTTTGTACTTAACTTCTGAAGGAAAGGAGGCAAGTAAGGCTAACAGTGTATTTGCAAGGTATTTTTAGTTACAAATTCATCTACAAATTCATTTTAAAAATCCATAGACTGAAAAGAATGACAACTGAAGTACTGAATATGGTAAATTTTACTTTTAAAAAACCATCAGCCTGTACCTGAAACACTGCTCAGCGCATCTTTACTTCCATTTGTTTCTGCCACTGCCCGTCTGAACTGCTCCAAGATGGCATTTAATTCAGAGGAACGCTGCAGGGTTCTGTGCTCAGCTATGCGGAGACGCTCCTTCAAAGCATGAAATTCCCTTTGATAAGCGATCAGCTTTTCTAGGAGTGAAAATAGCTCAGATTACTTGGTGTTAAAAGTGAAATAAAGGCTTCTCAATGCAAAAATGAAGCTGAACTGCCAAAAGATAAAAAATAAATTTTTGCATACAATTGATTGTCATGTTATTAAATAATATTTTTATTATTGCTTTTTCTGTAAAACTGTTTTTAATTAAAGAAAATGCCACAAATGCAGAGTCTCAAAAATGAGTGACATAAAGCTAGTAATACATAAATTATATGAGCATTATATAAATATTAGCAGTTAGGAATAAATGCACCACAGGAAATACTATTTAGTACAGTTAAGTATCAATTATTAGTATTCCTAGAAAATTCCAATGTATTCTTGAATATATATTTTTCTGTTCATTGGATCATCACAGAACTCTCCAGCTAACACAAGAAATAAAATACTAGTTGCATATTTAATTAATTGAAAGCTATCTGATAAATTCCTATTAAGAAAACAATGCTGCTTTGGAAGAAGTACGCAAATTTATTAGTCTATCAAATGGTTGCATTGATATTTGTGAAAATATTTGGTATCAAATATATTTTAAAATTCATTAGTTGGGCTATTTTGTTATTGTATTTCAAGCAAATCCTTTGAGTGAGATTTTAGAAATGATATTTATTCAAGTCATGCATGAAACACTTCCCATTTTATTCTCCCATAATGGATTAAATTATATCAAACACAGTTTCAAGTGGATTTCTAAGTGGCTCCATTTTGAAACCATTATTTCCATTTTATTCAGTTCCACATTGCCAGCCAACAAGTAATGGATATCAAATTTCATGCTGAAGGAAGGAATGTGATATGGATTTGGAAGAACCCGACACCAACTTTTATTGATTGTGAATCAAAGTAATAACACACAATTAAGCTGCAGCTTTAAACAAACTTATCTGGAATCTGAAACCAAGCAGATATCTCATGAAGAGATTTTTAAGAATATTGATGAACCTTACATTTATAGGTCTTTAGTTGGATTCAGCAGAGGATGGCACTCTGCTAACTGGATGTTTCTGTGGGTGGAATGGAAAGGGGTTTCTGCTGATGCCATTTCTCTTGAAGCCCCTATGTTACCATGTTGTCTCCCTTTCTTATGCCACTTCCTATGCAGTCCTAACCCTCTGGAACAAATTTTCAGGGACATACAAAGCTGTGCACAAGGAGGAGGAATTGGCAAAAACAAGCTTTCCCACTTCTACCCCCAGAAACACCCAATTTATGGAGTTTTAACCACTTACTTCAGTGGCGCAAGCTCACTGCTTTAGGAAAAGCCCACTGTGGCCAAGAAACATCACCTCCCTTTTTCTTTGTGCTAGGAGGAGGCATGGAACTCCTGAGAGAAAGGGATCAAGGTCAACCTGTATTCCTCCTGTTATCTACATTCTCTCTCTATATGTATGTATGTATGTATGTATGTATGTATGTATATTTCAAACATTTGTATGCCGCCCTTTACTATCGCATCTCAGGATGGCTTACAAGATTAAAAGCAAAACCAGAACAATAAAAATATACAATACAATAAAATTATCAAAAGCAGTACAAATAAATCCAGTCAAAACAAAACAAAAGTGACTGTAAAACAGTAAAAATACTAATTTTTAAAATTACAATTAAATAAAAAGGTTTTAACCTGGCACAGAAAAGAGTATAGGCTATATACTCTTGAGAGAGAGAGAACACACACACACAATACAGAAAAGAAAAAGAAACCACACCATTAAAAAGGATAAAGGGAAAAGGAAAAAAAATAGAAACATTTTGATTTTTGAATAAAATAGAAAAGATCCATAACATTAATTGCATATATACATAAAATAAAGAAAATAGATATATCTCTCTATATCTCTATATAGCAGTTTGTTATGTGCCATCTATGACCTACGACAACCCTATGAATGAAAACCCTCCAAAATGACCTGTCCATCACAGCTCCATTCTGTGCTTCCAAGATGGAGGCTGTGGCTCATTTTGTGGAGTCAATCCATCTATGACAAAAGCTTTGGCTTGCTGTGAACTAAGACCCACTTGTTCGTCTTTCTGCCAGAATAGCGTATTCACAAACAGAACACGTGGGCAGGCTGAGCGGGCTGAGCTGGACGACTTGTTGACCAGTGTGGAGCTTTGGCACAATATAACAACACAAAGGGATGATGTGGAACCTTGTTGTGGCATGATTTCAGGGTATTTTTACCTAACACACTCTTCAAATCTCCCTTCTGCCTTTCTAAATATTCCTTTCTGTTCTCTCCTACTGGGCTCTTTTCTGAATTCTACCTCCTTTCTGAAACTTATATTTAAATATCCATAATGTACTTGTTCATAGATTTTAATTGTTGGGAGTCTATCTTGCTGGAAAGCATAAAGAAAATAACATGTAATAATACAATTCTCCTACACTTATCCCAGTAACCTCAACAAAATACTTTGACATGGTAGAGTCTCAACTGCATCAGTCTTTAGACCAGTTTGGTCCATGGTTTATCTGCAACCTATTAACTACACTTATAGCCAGTCCTCAATTCTAGCCAATTTTTAGATTCTAGATACTAATGCACTTTCAACAGACAGTTACAATTGCTCCTTTTTGTATCAGACTCTGGCCTTTGGGTTGGTTTATTATGTCTACTTCAGTATAATGTTGGACAGGGGGTTCTATCAGCAGATTCTCAGAGTTCATTCTTTTGTGCTGAAACAGCCTTTTCAATAGGACTAAAAAGGCCTTTGGCCTTCAAAAATAAGATTCTCTTAACCAGAGCTAGGGTGAGGACAAAGAGTTGTTTGTGTGAGGAATGCTATGATTTCCTATCTGTATAAAATCTTTTTTGTTTTGCTTTGTTGCTGTAAGCCTGTTTAACAGTAAAGTCATACCTTTGCTCATAGATTTTTCAGCTTTGCATTATAGTCACCACTCTTTCTTTTCCTTGTATCTCTTTAACTAAATTTGAATATTATTTGTTCTTCCTACTTTGGCCATAGACAGGAAAAAAGTGCTTTCTGGGACATTTACAAAGATTGCACTGTATCCACTCCATAAATCTAAGTAAAGGAGGTTATAAATGACATAAAACCCCATTTTTTAAAAGTTCCTCAAGACCAAAGAACATATGACCTGGGGGATATCTAATGATTCAGCCTGTATACCATCAATTATCTCTGAACAACAAACAATGGGCAAGAAGCTCAGATGATAAAATTCAATGGCTGTTTGGGAGGGAGGGAGGGAGGGAGGAAGAGACCCCCTATAACTACTACTACAAAAAGCATTAACCAAGATGGATTGTGAAGAGTTGGAAGTCATCACCTGCTCCTTTCCATGGCAAGCACAAACCACTGACAATTAGTTTACGCAAGCCAGTAAATTACATCTTGCCTCAAACCAGTATTAGAGGAAGAAAATGGGCAGATTTGCACATCGCAACAACCCACCCTGGCAATAAGCCACAGAGTTTAGTTACCATACAAACAACCCACAGGGCACCCAACCACACAATAAAAATGGATACATAAATGATGATGATAAATGATGTATGATATGTTTATAATGCTCATATGCTGTATGGCTATAGCTAATGAATCTGTTTGTTGATATTCAAACTGAGATTAATTAGGAACAGCTGGGATGCCTGCAAGATAAAAGCATGTATAAAGTGCCATTTCTGCACATATCATGATGCTAGTTGTTTAATTGTTGACTTTCTGATATCCTGTTTGAAATACTCATGCCTATGAAATGCCAGCACTTCAACCTTTAGTGCTATTATGGTTTTCAAATCCCATTCATATAAAATTTTGGATGGAAATTCTCTAACAGACCAATCAGATATGAAGAAGCAGCCTCATATAGATTAGAATCAACCCTTTGTTCAACACTATTTTCTCATTTTTGGCTTGGCTTCCTTTCTATGTCCAACGAGTTAATAGAGACCATATCTTCCTAGTAGTGGAAATTATATTTTTCTTGTTTTGTACGTAAATGTTTATTTTAGACCTCAGTGCTGGTGGGTTGCATTGCTAGGGGCTATTGAAAAGGGACTCCAGAAAGGAAGAAGCAGGGATGGGAGGACAGCAGCCCAGGATGTCACTTTGTTGACATGTATATCCAGATTGCTGTATATCCTCAACAAAATCTTGACATAATGGAAAACTTTCATCTGAGTTTGAAGGAGGAATTTGTAACTTGACAGGCCAATTATGGAAGTTCCTCCATCAATAAAAAATCATTAATTCACAGCCCAACAGCCAGAAGATTTTGACAGGTTTCAACCATAGTGAAGTAAGGGATATGCCAGTGAAATGCCTTCCACTTTACCATGTCCTTCGGTACTTCCAGCAAGCAGTTGTAATTATTTCAGAAAACGCCCTTTTTCCATTGAGAGGAGGAAAGCAAAGACAGAGGAGAGATTGCATATGGCTCTCTTCTCTCCTATAAAACTTGCCTTCGGCTATTCAGTGATCTTTGAGAGTGTTACAAAGTGAAAAGAAGCCAAGCTGATGACAGCATCAAGATGTTAAAACCACTTTGGCACTCATTTTTTTACTCAGAGGCGCTCTGGACTATTTTTCTGACATTTAAGTCTAGGAAACAGTCTGTCATACTTCTTCTTCTTCTTCTTCTTCTTTTTTTTTTAACTTTCAGCACTATAAAGCTTTTTTTAAAAAAATCTTCCTCTCTTTTTCCCTCCAAAAGGGCAAGAAAATGCATAGAAAAGCTTCCGGACAAGTAGAAAAAAACATTTAGACATTCAACATTTTTACTAGCATATAATGAAAAAAATTCAAGTCCCGTCTCATAGCTTTTCTTAAGATTTCTATAAGAAATCTATAAGCTTTTTTCCTGTTATCTACAATTACTTCTTACTCCATACAGTAGTATTACAACAGACTATTGAATTAAAAAAGAATTTTCATCAATCTCTTACCCACACACATACACACATGGGGGAGGGGCAGAAGAAGGGTACATAAAATGCTTTTGATA